AGCCCACTTTGTTATTGATTGTAGTTTATATAGTAATGAAAGAAATGACCTTTTTAGATATATTACTAGTACGTTTCCATACTTCCAATACTTGCCTAATGTTGAAAAATTTATCTTTCTTATGCGCTTTGATCATCCTGTACTATACAAACCCATCTCAAATTATATTTTTAATATTACAAAGAAACGAGAAGAAGCCGAACCATTGTATTAGAGTAGTTTTAAAGCTGTTTGTAATACAAACATGTATATTACCTATTTCACCTGTTCACCTGTACTTAGCCCGATAGGGCATGAATGTACAACAAAGGTTATGATTATTATTATAATTATAAAGGTCGTTCCCCTTACTTTGACTCTTCTTCTAGACGACCACCTTCAATATTATTGAATATTCTGTTGCCTGTAGTTGAGACAAAGAATTTCAAACCGTGAGCTGTACAAAAACATACCGCCGATTGCTGAAACAATACAGCAAAGGAGACTACGATTTGTAGGCCACTGTTGGAGGGAAAAGGATGAGGTAGTACACAAACTCTTACTAGTGGACTGTGACCCGAGTCATGAAAAGAGAAGTCGTGGAAGACCACATTTGACATACATAAAATAACTAGAAGGGAACAGTGGAATGACTCTAAGTCAACTGCCTGCTACGCTGCGATGGAGGATAGACTAAGAGAGAAATGGAAACAGACAGTCATGGGGAGACTTCGAATGAGCTCGACGCAGTGAGTGAGTGATTGAGTTGAGACTGCATACTGGGAATGGGTGCTCATGTAGTCTCGAAGTTAAGGTGGTCAGGCCAGTTCAACATCGAATAAATTATATCATCATAGAAGGTTGTAATAGCATCTGATTGACTCCTGCATCTGTAATTGTGGTTGTGTAATTTTTACTCTTTTAAGTAAAACCCTGAAGGTCTTTCACACCATGCAGGCACGATGGCAGCTATCGCCGTGCTCTGTGTCTTCGGGATCCTGCTGCTGTACTTCCCCGAGCACGGGAAATGTCGGGAGGGCGTGCCCGCCAGGCGGCAGTGGGTGGGTGCGTCATGGGAGAACACCTATGACGGAGATTTGACCTTCACGTGCCCGGGAGAGAACCAGGCTATTTCGGGTTTATACAGCCAACACAACAATGCCTTTGAGGACAGGCAGTTCAGGTTTGAATGCAGGTACGCAGAGTATTCGAGAGGATCCTGTGATTGATTTTTGGCAAAGAAACAAAATTAATGTGTTTTTTTCTCGTTTAACCCCAACGACTGTACATAGATAGTTGTAATAGCACCTAAAGACCCTCTCACACATAGCCGAATATGACCCCCGAACACTACCGAACTTCATGGTTGTGAGTAGGCCGGGAGCCAGCTAGGCTGTGGTTGGTTGGTGTTCGGGAGTAGGTTCTCAATGTGTGACACTGGGGCTTATCCGATCCAACATTCTTGCTCCTTCTCGCACTACGTATACCTAGTGACCTTCCAGGCAACACACAAGGCTCCACTTGGAACTCCAACTACCAGAACGACTACGACATGGAGCTCAACTTCCTCTGCCCGTTTAACAGCGTCATGATAGGGATGCAGAGTCACCACAACAACGACAAAGAAGACAGGCGGTGGAGCTTCACGTGCATGCAAGTAAGCATCGGCATGATATACATAATGATGTTACCCTTAAGCTAACTTAAACATGTCACAGGTATGAAATGCCCATCATTTACCAATAAGGAAGCACACTATTGTCGCATTAGTTATGCAAATCATGTAAATTAGTTGTATACATCTTTTTCTAAGCTACTCACATTTCAAAAATCTTGAAAATCCGTCGGTCTTTTCAACAGTCATTCGCTTTGAAATATTTAATGCTGCGGTCACAATTCACATACGGGGCCCGTCCGGGCAGCTTTTGGGAACGAAAACTACGATATAGAAGACAACAAATCATCGAAAAGTTCTTAATGACAATCATGGACTCTATTTCTCTATATTCTTGATAAGAATAGTTAATTTTTCGTTCGTACAAACAGCCCGGCCGGGCCCCGGTTTGGAAATGTGACCTCAGCATAAGCAGGAACTCCCCTGCAGTTCCAGAAAATGCTGTTAGGGGGGGCCAACCCAGTTACGCTTTGATATGTGTTTGTTCACAGGTGCCTGTGTATCGTTTGGCTGATTGTGTTTGGACAGACTACAACGATTTAGACGCCGATATTGAAGTTCCGACTTTAGACAATTACTTCTTCACTGGAGCAAGGAGCCAACACCATGACCATGCGGAGTAAGGAATGACTTTACTTACATGTAGAAGCTAGAACTTTATTGGCTGCTTTAAAGAGCATTTGATTCAGTGTTGTTTGCAGGGGACATCCCAGCAAGTACGTGCAGGGGAGGGACTAGTGAACAATCTTTTGAACGTATGGTAAAACCATGAGAAACAAACACTTAAAAACACATTTACTTTTATTTAAAACTTCTTAACCCCCAATGCAAGGGTGGACTATGAATACAAAATGTGGAAGGTCAACTCTGGCATGTTATAAAGAGCCACAGTGTTAGTCCATATGTGCACAATATACTTCCTTTGATCTGTACATACATATACATGTAGTACATTGTTAACAATGCCCTTTTATTTCCTACCCAATGCCATGTATACAGGTACCAGTATCATTTTACTGTTCATTTTTCTGTTCGTAATACTGACGTGTTTCAACATGGCGTGTCTTCTACAGGGACAGAAACTGGAGTTACCAGCGCTGCAAACTCAAGCAAACCGCCTGCCCCGATTAAGATGACACATGAACGACATGTTCGGAACATATGCATGTCCGTATCATAATTTCTATCGGTACCATCAGTACGACGTAATAATGTAGACACCACTGTGTCGTACGGATACCGATAGAAATTTTACACCACAAACTTTGTTAACATTAACTTGATTAAGAACTTACAAGAACTAATGTTGTTAAAGTTAACCAAGTTTATGGTGTAAAATGATATTGCCCGCAATGGATTAAAGTTATAACTTGCCGAATCATTTGATGTGTGTTGTAATTTTTGCGGTTGGCGAGGATGACAGATGGCCATCGAAACGTCGGCTCTTGTTAAACAAGTGGTTGTGAATAAAGAACTTTGCTGTTCAAAGTTATCCAGAAGAGCTTAATTATGTTGTATTGCGTAATTCTACGCTTGGAAAGAATAAGGCGTGTCTTGGCTGTTATGTAAGGGCTAATGGGCCATTTTGGAGTTAAAAGACAAAACGTAAACGATACATAGACAGATATACTAGTATCGATCAATAGGCAAACAGGGCCTCCATGTGAAGCATGTCTGAAGCATTTGCTTTGAAAATCGCGAACAACTGTTTTATTGGCCTCAAGTTCACACGGATGTGGTTCTAAAATGTTTGTTTTAATGTAGGGAAGGAATATATATAGATAGAAACACACACACGTACACAAACGCACACATAAAGTTAGGTATAGATTTATGGATAGAGATAAATATGTACACACATATATGTAGAGGGAGAGAGAGAGCCTGAGAGACGGGTGTTAGGGTGAAAACAGCCCGTTATACATACTACATATTCTCAAAGGTGAGTGCTTCTTTAATAGTCGTACGGTAGTATAATTGGTCAGACTGTCCCAGAACTTCAGACAACCTTGGTCGGTTGATGTTCGGGAGAAGGTTCTGAATGTGTGACAGGGGTTTACATGTAGTGCACTACCACATGTAGGTACCGAAAAGGCGCCATGTTTCGTCTTAGCTTTAAGGTTGGCCAGAAAGAAAAGAAATATGACATAAAAAAAGAAATTAACTATTGAATGGACAAATATGTTGAAACTTTCTCTCTCACAAGGCACCATGGCAAGACATACTGCTGTAGCAGTTTTTGTGCTCTGTGTCTTCCTACTCCTGCCCGCCAATGTAGCCCCGGTAGCCGGGCCGTGGGTGAACGGCTATCACCGCTGGTTCGGCTTCAGCTGCGACCACCGGAACCAGTTCATATCGGGGCTGTTCAGCCGACACGACAATGGCTGGGAGGACAGGCGGTTCAAGATTGAATGCAGGTAAGAACAAGCTGGTGGGAAGCGTGTGTGTGTCTTTGTAAGAGCACGGTCACAAAAAAGTCGCGCGATTTCATTTGGCGGTACTGCAGCCTTAAAGAGTCATATTTCTAATGATTGAACGTATATACACAGTGAATGCTACTTTGAGGACGAGAAAATTCTGAGCGATTTCTGGGTACGGTTGTATTGTTTTGGGTGGCTGAATTGTAGTTTGGTGTGTCTGCTTGTCCAAGTAGCAACGGTTGCGTGGAGGGTGGGAGGTGATTTTGACAGTTGATTGATAGGGAGGTTCCACCTGAAGGTGACTCAGCACATGCGGGTGGGAGCAAGTGGGTAATATGTGGATGAATTCAGTGATACCCTATTAAATTACATCATACAACTTCCTCCACGCTTCCAATACATTCACGAAGTTCTGTAAGGTAACAAAGACACTAAATAACTTTCGTATGTGTCCGATTGTTTTTTCTGCATTGGGACATAGTTTACTTGCTTACTAAAAAGAATCATATGTTAGTCCTTTTTACCCCAACTACATGCAGAAACCTGACCATCACCCCAGAACAGTACGGCTCAACCTTCGAGTCCGGGTACCTGAACGAGTATGACGCGGAGGTTGACTTCGAATGCCCGTCTCACGGCGTGCTGAGGGGGATACAGAGCGCGCATAGTGACTGGCACATGGACAGGAACTGGAACTTCATCTGCATGGAGGTAACACCCACCCCCTCGCAACACGAGATATCACACTCGTGTACCTCGCCGTATTGCCTTACAAACTTAACAAACATGGATTACTCATAATTGACATTGACCTTTGTTGCCCAACCCCAACCTACCTACCAAATATCATAAAGATACGCCCCAAATTATACCCGTTTAAAAAATCGCCAACCCATTTTCAAATGAGGAATTGTGAATGTTTCTCAGTGATTATGCAAAGAAGATCCCCTGTTACATATAGCTCTTCCCCACACCCCACTCGTAGACCTCCCTACCCTTCCCCACACCCCACTCGACAGACCTCCCTACTCTTCCCCACACCCCACTCGTAGACCTCCCTACTCTTCCCCACACCCCACTCGTAGACCTCCCTACTCTTCCCTACACCCCACTCGTAGACCTCCTTACTAGTCCAAATCATGAGATATCCATACCGGAAGTTCCGCTGCAGTACCATAAGAATTTACCTGAATTTACCTGAACTGCAGAGATATCGTCTTATCAGGCTCCGCAGTCAGGAGCTTGATGGCGGGTAGCCTCTGGTCGCTCCTCCGTCTAATACGGTCTTGATGTGTAGGTCTATGCTACTCTTGAACCCGTTCACACTGGTTTGCTGCACAACTTCTTGGGGTAGTTGATTCCATGCAGAGATTGTTTGTACTGCAAATGACTTTTTCTTTTCTAAGAAGCCCCTAGGTATTCCAAAATCTACCCACCTACCAAGTTTCATGACAATCTATTTAAAGCTTATTGGGCTATCGTGCTAAACCACACACACGTTTGCGCGCACCCCTCTGGCGAATGTAATGACGGCTGTGTTTGCTATAAGGTCCGGGGGTTCTGCTGGTATGGCTGTACGTGGTCAGCCTACAATGACTGGGACGATGACGTCGACATTCCAACCGCTGACTGGCACTTCATCACAGGAGCGAGGAGTCACCACGAGGACCGCTATGAGTAAGGAACGATTCCTTCCCCTTAAAAATAAACTCGACAACTTCAGTCTCAAGCCTCTGTCTTACATTCAGAACTGTCCCCAGGCCACCAACTGACCAGGTTTAGGCTTACATTTTCATTATATGAATCGAATTTAATTTAAATTTGAGTTAGCCAGCGGAGAAACGGAGCGGAAACAAAGCGTTCACGGATGGATTCCAGGCTAAATTTGAGTCACATCTCACTGACAACCACGCCCCGACCTATTTTCGAATACGAGTACCAGCCAAACATGGCCGAGGCTCCCGTCAATACCCGAATGTTTTAAACATTTCGAAACATTCGACTGGCGCAGCCGATATCAGTCGACCTCACTGAACGCCATTCGATCTTGCTCCTATGTTTGGGGGCTTTCGTCAGTGTTCGGGAGGTCATAATCGGCTATGCATGTGTGGCAATGTAACCACTCCAACACTGCTCACGTCTCTGTCTCTCCTACAGGGATAGGAAGTGGAGCTACCAACGCTGTGGACTCCGAGCCTGCTAACCAGGAGAAGTCTCACACATGGCGACGCCAAGCTGCAAACCCTCCAGACTCACAGCGATAATAATGATAATGATAAATGATGATGATAACAAACTTGGTATTGTACATAACTACAGTTCCATAAGGCTAATCTACCTAATGTAATAGTGTGTAGTATGGGTTGAGGATATAGGATGGGATGAGAATGTGCATTTGCAATCATTTGAGGAATTTCTAACGTTTAGACATTCTTTACCATACTTTCCTATGATAATATGACATGTAATGGGTTGGGTTTTGCTTCAGTGCCTCTGGTGGCAGCTCACCTGTCTGTGGGTTTTCCCCATGAAAAGTCCATTATATACAAGAACATCGAGTGCAAGGAAATGCGTGGTAATGATTTGAAAGTTGGTGGACATTGATCCGAGACTTTATACCCCCAAATGTCAGTTGTACCCGTTTACCCCCTGTGAGGACAGCACGTCGGCAGAGCGTACTGCAGGACGAGTGTAGAACGTTCACGAACCATTCCGCATGAGATTGACGGCCAATGTGATTGACTTCGCCGGCGCTGTTCAGTCGCATATCTAGAATCATTCAAAGAACCAGCGTGCTCAGGATTGAGCGATTACTGCGTCTCAATCCTTCAAATGTGTTTGCGCTGTGCAAAAACATGGGATTAAGCGTATGCTTGATTGCATGGATAAAAGGACTCGTAGATACATGTAATGTTATCACCCCCACTGATGTCGGTAATTAAGGCTGGCCTCACGTGGCGGTGCGTTCTGTCATGTCTACCCTCACCAGGACTTCATATACAACATTGTGCTTTATATAGACGTTTATTCCCAAATGTTAATTACAAGTGGATAAGGATGATAAGTATACGGTGCATGAAGAAGGAAACAGCGTAGTCGCGCTGGTCCATACTCTGTTATCCTCCCATCTTTTCTGTTTCCTGCCACACTTTCTTCGTCCTTGGACTGTTCCTTGCAATTTAGATGGCTTTCGCTAGCCCTGACTAAGCCATGGCACCTAGCCGTGTCACTCCAGTTTCCTTCTTAAAAGTTGTTAGCAGGTCTTCGTATGGACCTATGTTAACTGTGATAGTTCCGTGCCAGAAGACGACAAAACATTCACATGACGGACGGACACCGCATGTTGACTCTGTTCCGCCATTTGAGGTTCATTCTCTGTTTGTGATCTCTAGAAAGTTCTGAAAGCATTTAATTGGGGAAAGAATTCCGAAGTGAAACTCCGTGTACTACGTGAGTAGAGGCTGTAACATAATACAGGTCCCATCTGCTGTCTCTCATTAACCATGTACTTACCGCATACCCCACCGTCTGTGCGTTGGTGCGACCTGTAAAACCCAGCGTGCCAAAATGACAGCAGAGGTGAAAAACAAGTCCTCACTCTGCAGAAATATAACCTTGCCCGGCTTGGTACTAATAGCAATAGTTAGTTGCCTGCGCCGGACGCTGGTGTCTGCCGCGAGTCTTTCACCGGTACAGAATAGAGGAACGGTATGCTGCAACTCGCCAACTCTCTCTAGATTTAAGAATGTGTCGGTGCCTACAGCCTATTGGACAGGAGGTTTCATCTTACTGACCGGGTAAGTCTTATAGTGGTCTCGTTGCGACATTGCTGTATGTTAAAATCCCGTTTACCCGATGTATGTAGAGCGTCGAGCGCCGCGCGGCCTGTCCTTGGTACTGAAACAGGTATCTATTAAGGCGCCTGTAAGAGATACATATATCACCATAGCGATCGTTTAGATATAGGGGTTCCGCGTTAGTTGCTGAATGAAACATATATAAAAATTTAAGTAAATGTTTTTTTCTAGCAGAGTCGTCTCTCTACGGCAGCAATGTTTCCTTAGGGCGGGCACATTCGTCCTAGGCCGTCATTCGATTTTCAAGCAGCCTGCGATAGTACCAACAAAGACATAAACAGTAACACAGCATCTCTTTCATACAAAGAGAGCTAAATTTTACTAACACGCACGGCTATCTCCAAAAAACGACCTCCATTTTGCAATCGTACGACGATCGTGCGACAAAATTTAAAGACACCGGGCGGGCCATTTCCTTTGTCACGTTTTCACCTCTGTCCCTTGTGTAAGGAAGCCCCGTGCAATAAACCTCTGTACACCAAAAAAGCCTAACTTTTAGATCGAAGGTTCGGCGTGGCCCAGTGGTGCGTGGCTGAAAATGTGAACAGTGTCGAAGCCGATGGAAAAAGAGCGGCATTCTTTACTTCATTGGAGAACTGCTTTTAGTTTTAAAACATGAAGGTAAGTACAACTAGAGGTGTTGTTGTGATGTCGTGTTCCATCTATATCAGAGTATGGCTGTTAAGGATTTATCTGGTGGATCATGTGGATTGTTTTTTTTCTGAACTGAAGCTCAATAAAAGGTAGCTTGTAATACTTTTGTGGTTTTGGGTAAATCTACATCAACCACCTCATGTGCCAAATCCACTTGTCAAATGTAAACGAAATAAGATTTTTTTGCCAGTTAAGCAGCCTGCAGAGGTTATTTTTGTTTGGTTTTGTTTGGATTATCATACTTCTTCTAGTCACTTACACGATATCGCATAATCAATTTTCACTTTGACAACGTAGAAGGCAGCAAAACAAAGCAGCATGAAGAGCTATTGGGCAAGATGCGTATCCGGGGTATATTCATACTCTGTTGTTGCTGAGGGTCCACAGGGTGGAATTACCCCGGTAACTTGTCTTGTCTTCGGCCCCAAGGACGGGTGGCGATGAGGTTGTATCAGAGAAGAAACACAACGCAGCACATCAGAATATGATACAACACACACACACACGCGCGCGCGCGCGCGCGCGCACACACACACACACACGCACATATTCTTTCTCTCTCTCTATTAGTCACGCACTCACATAGGCACACGCTAACTAACACAAGTACAAGCACAAAGTAAAAGCACAAAGACAAGCACAAAGACAAACCTGCATTCTTCCAACAGTGAGGGACAAGTCTTGTTTGCCCCACGTTCAATCGAGCCCGCCTTTTCCATGACCGTGTTGTTGTGAAAATAGTATCAATCAATACAGATCTGCCTATACCTATCTGGAGCATAGCATGATATAACATGCGCACACCTTAAGCTGAACGTGCCATGTTCAGCCATTATCAGCCAACATGAAAGGTTGTACGTCGCGCCTGTAGCGAGGTGTCCTTGCCAAGGCTGGGTCAAGGTGTGTGTGTAGGGACTCTGGGGATCTTCATGTCTTGTGGGCAATAGAATTCTACACAAGGCAGTGGCACCCTGGAAACCTATGTGACCTGATTTCTGCATCCATCTCCAACCAAGTCGGCGTTTGCAACATCTTTGTAAAGAGTGGTAAACAGCGCTCGTATTCCCATCCTTCCTCCTGATGAAGAGAATATTGATTGTGGACTATATGATGTAGACAATATGTAAATACATATCTCTATTGAATACTTGGCTATGCTGACTGAATGAAGGTTTTAAACGCGCGGGAACTATCGGGTGTATTATTTCATGGTATATTATACCTCCATGATTATATCATTAGAAAGCGTGCTAGTATAGTACATTCATGGGTTGAGCACCATGGCTATGTCCATCTATTTGAGTAGATCTCAAAAATGGTGCCGAAATTTCCCTTGATTCCGTTGCCTTTTCTACTGATTAGCATTATATGTTTTATCGAAAAGTGTGTATATTTTTCATAAATATAATTCCTCATTTGTCTGACATACATCGTATTGTAAAATGGAGTACAAATTACTACATTAGTGTCTTTGGGTGAAGATGAACTTCCTGGAACGAAGAATTGTTTGTAGGTTGCTATGTTTGCTCTTCAATCTATGTTTTGATTAGGTATTTCTGTACTGTAGATCTAGAACAGAAAACAAACTGCCCCTGAATCACAAGTCAATTGCTCAACAGTTTTGCAAATTCAGAATCAAAAAGACATCCAACATGTATAAGCTAGAACAATGACCAAGTGGCGTCATCAAACTGACGTAACGTTGCATATCATATCCTTGCCCACCCCTTTGGTACAGAATGTGATGTACCAGAAACATGGCGGAGCTTGAGTTAGAAGAGGTTATTTCAGGACGGCAGGGCCCGTCCTTTCTGACAGGATTCAGGCGGCTCTTCTACCTGGTCACGCCGAACGAGACGACTTTCCAAACACGGGAGGAAGTGCCGCAATACATCGAACAGGTTATTCGCCCTGCTTATTATATTATTCTATGCAACACAACACTATTGGTTTCAACTGACGTAACATAGTCTCGGCAAAGAGATTACGAACCAAGAGGGTTCTGCGGAAGGCTTACGGGTGGGGGTGCCTCAGGAGTTCGGAAAAATAAATCTCGTTTTCAAGGCAAAGCCGACAAAAAAATAAGTAGGATAGAAATTAAAGTGGAAAGAACATGGTAGTCTGAGTCAACGCGTTAACGATATCCGTGCTCGGGAGGTGCTATACAAATAAATCTTAGTCACCTGGGTGAAAGTCCATAGGTGCTGAATGGAGGTCAACATGGGGCTATCAGACATAAAATGTGACATACATGACTTACAATGGATGATTTTCTATCGCATTTGGAAATGAAGTATAAACAATTGACATATGTAGGCGGATTCAGGAGTTGGGCATGACAACAATACATGGAAACGTGGGATCGTCGCAATACATGGGATCGTTCTAATACCAGATAGTGTGAAGTTTGTCGTAGTAGCGGCGGCCTTCTGGGGATCGATAAATTCGGCGGAACGATGCCAGCTCACACATGTGACATTTTATCTCAACGTTTTCCCAGCAGAATGATATAAGCCAGTATTTTTGCTTGTTTAGACTTCAGTATTTGCTCATGTTGTGTCCCCAGGCCACGCCGTTCTTCATCATGATGATCCTGGTGGAGTACGCTGTGACGTCCCTGAAGAATGACTCCCGCACGGCACGCCTTGACGATTCTATCAGCTCTATATCAGCAGGGATGATCCAACAGTTCCTGGTGTAATTCTCCCTGCAAACTCTGTATCTTCTAGAATAGCAAAGTTCTTGTTTTTGACTGTTCAATCATTCACCAACCTGATGAAATTATTTACGGGTGTGTATCTCCTAGTTTTAGAAACCGATGAAGTCAAGCGTACCGCTACCTTGTAGTCCTTTGGTCGGTATACGTGTATATCAACCGTGGACCAATCCTAGTTCGCGTATAAATCCCGACGTAGCCGAATATGGCCTCCCCAACACTGACGATGTCTTCCCATGCAATCAGCGATCCCGTCTGGTGAAAAAGGGGCCTTATGTAACGCGTTAACCTGAACTGCTTGTTACATAAGAGCATAATATAAATATTACTGTACCAGCTTTCACTTGACACATCAAAATTCCTGTCGGACATCACTCTTTCTGCCATAGGCACCTGTTGTACATGTTGAAGTGATGCACCGAACTACTAGTATTTTCGTATAGAGATTTCGTACAAAGTGCTTTGGGGACATATGCACCAGAATTAAAAATGTGGTAAACATTTTGGTAAGTAAGATAAAAAAAATATGTTGTTGTAGGATCTTTTTGAAAAGCACGTACGCTTTCCTGTACATGTGGATCCATGAGAACTGCCGACTGGTGGACCTGCCGTGGGACTCCCCCTGTCACGTGGTGGACAGCCTTCATCACCGTGGAGTTCTTCTATTACTGGTTCCACAGGATGTCACATGGTATATGGAACAACCTACGTGTCTGTGTGTGTGTGTGTGTGTGTGTGTGTGTGTGTGTGTGTGTGTGTGTGTGTGTGTGTGTGTGTGTGTGTGTGTGTGTGTGTGTGTGTGTGTGTGTGTGTGTGTGTGTGTGTGTGTGTGCGTGCGTGCGTGCGTGCGTGCGTGCGTGCGTGCGTGCGTGCGTGCGTGTGTGTGTGTGTGCCACTTTGTCTGTCTGTCTATCAGTCTATCTCTCGATCAGTGTACATTTAAAGATTTCAAATTAAATGACAGTCAGAACTTTTCAGCTTGGTCATGTCACATTATTCAGATCAATGGATTGACTTCAAATTTAGGATTTAAGAACAGGAGACCACTCTAACACATTTCCAGCACCACTCCGATTGGGCTCTCTCTCTTGTTAGCACATTACGCGTAGGCGTATCAGCATGAGCGGAAAAATGTGAAATTTAAAGCCAAAATGAATTGCTTTTCATTGAACAGTGCTTGTTGTTGTCTTCCCTCAGAAGTAAACCTGTTGTGGGCAGCACACCAGGGTCATCACAGCTCGGAAGACTTCAACCTGACCACAGCTCTGCGACAATCTGTGTTCCAGCACGCCTCCGTAAGCATCAAGATCCTTATCTTTAATAACAAGACATTATCATTATGATTATGCCACCACTAAATACTTACATTCTACTCCTGGTACTTAGTAGAAAATGTGAAGTCAAAATGCATGATTATATATCATGTAACATATATCACAGAGCTGTTTTGTACAGACATCGGCACTAATGGTAGGGTATGTACTCACCACTATTCCATCTTACTTTTCAGTTCTTTATGCTCCCCATGGCTCTGGTGGTTCCGCCAGCCGCCTACTCTGTACACTTCCAGTTCAACATACTGTACCAGTTCTGGATTCATACTGAGGTCAGTCGTAACATTGGATTCCCACACTAACCCTGATAGTCAGACACTTCTGCTGATTCTTTTGCGATAGGCAGAAAATAAAAACGCATGTTGCAGAGACAGAGTTCTTAGCTAATGTAGCCCTGCATTGACTAGCTGTAAGTACTCTGTTTATATCACACAGATATCGTGCAGATAATGTGTAGTTGTATGCATTTCACCTTCCATTTCCTACATTCTATTCTATAATTTCTTCCGACAGTTGGTGACGTCGCTTGGTTTCCTGGAGTATATCCTCAACACACCGAGTCACCATCGGGTGCACCACGGTATGTGTACAGTTTTTTGTGCATCTGTTTGTTTGTTTGTTTCTCTGTTGCTTAGTTTGCTAGTTTGTTTTTAGATAAAAATACTATCATCCTGTTCGGTTAGAAGATGCAGTCGTTTTTATGGTTCAAAGCGTAATTCTTCTAACGAAAGCGATGAAATTTAGAATTTGATTAAACGCGTATTTTACTTACCCATCTTTTTTTTCTGCTTGTACCCACAGGAAGAAACCCATATTGTATCGACAAGAACTACGGCGGCACGCTCATCATCTTCGATAGGTTGTTTGGTAGGCGGCGTTTTCTCTTCACAATTGCGGACAAGATTATTGTAAATATGATTAATGTGTGCATAGACATTCGTTGGGCTTGTGTCCAAATTTCATGATCACTTTACACTGCTACCATCATGACGAAAATTAGTACCAAGTAAAGGAAGTAGCATGGAAGAAAGTGTTCATTGGATCGGTTGAACTGCAGCCTGATGTGCTATTTGTGTCGACAGGTACCTTGCAAAAGAAGAAGAAAAGGGTTGTCTATGGTCTGACCCATCCTTTGAACACGTTGGGAACCCGGGTATGGGTACAGGTAAGGAGTGGGTCGCATCTTACTTCACTGTTTAGTGTTCAGATCTTGTTGTTGGTAGCCATCATGATGAGCATCAGGGTGCATCATAGACCAGTAGACGATTCCAAAATTTTAATGGCATTTAGGGGTAATAGATAGACCTGAATATTTATCCCATTTCTTAGTTCAGAAATGTATTTCACTAGTAAAACCTATATTAATTGGAATTGTGGGGATGATTATATTTCGCTCATTTTTCACCTCATGTACAACAAAATTATCTTCTTATGGTAAAAAATGGGATAGCATCCTTACTATCACATTAACATACCAGGAGATTCTGGACTCTCTCTCTCTATAGTGAAACAATGGGATAAATTCCCTTCGTACTATCCCAATAATTTACCAGAAAAACTCATCTGTGTTCTTACAGTTCTGCCACCTGACCCACATCTGGAGGACGTTCTGGGCCACGCCCGGTTTGGTCAGCAAACTGTCTGCGCTATTCAAAGGACCCGGATGGGCCCCAGGCAAACCTCGTCTGGGGTGTATTGAAGACATTCCAAAGGTACAAAAAATATTAATAATCACATGTAAAATATTAAATAATTACATGAAAATCTCATATGAAACTGGTGCCTTGAAGGCAGTTTACAGGTTATGTGAAACAAACAAAACAAAAATTAGTAATATGTAAAAATGTCATATATGAAAAAAAACATTTGTTTCAAATATCTCATCACAGGTAACACATCCAGAACCGAAGTATGACCAACAGATCCCCGTCTTCTGGTCGGTTTACATATCCGGACACTTCGTCATGGCCGTCATATTCTACCAGGAGCTGTTTGCTGTTGCCAAGGTATTATAAATATAAAGTTACCATGTTTGGGAGCAGGTTAGGAGCATGGTCGGTTGTGGTTGGCTGGTGTTCGGCAAGGTTGGCTACTGTCTGGCTGCGGCAGCGAAACGTTTCAAAATGTTTGAAATCTATTCAAGAGTAGATGGGAGGTTGGCCCATGGTTGGGGACCGGTTGGGAGTAGGTCAGCAGGGGTCAGGGCATGGTTGTCAAAATTGACTCAAATTTAACTCAAATTTGATTTGACTCAAATGGAAAGATAGGTGTGGCCTAAATCTTGTCTGACTGATCCAAACCAACCACCAACCTTGGTTGGTTGGTGGTAGTGGGGCTTCTGAATGTGTGACAGGGGGTTAAGATGAAGTGATTTTGGTGCTTTTTATCAAATATAATGATGTTCAACATTTTCAACAAAGTACCATCCATCTAGGATGTGACTACGCTTGCGTGCCTGGGAAGGATCGCCTTCCTGATATGGACTTTATCTTCCATAGCTGCAATCATGGATAAAAAGTAAGTATAAAGATGCAATGGAAGCAACTAACATTAATTTGTAGTTCAAGACTGGCGATCTCTCACCAGTGAATGGATACCTTTGCCTGACCAATGTATGTTGTTCTTAGTGTGATAGTGATACAACACTTCTACCTGCAACTATAGTTTCTAGGAGAGTTTCCAGGATAGGCTTTCCGGATGAAATTTGAAATGAAAGGATTTGACGCATTCATTTCAAGATGTTCTCCTAGCGGAGGTCTCCTATACATTTACTGTACTCTGACATCCAGTCCAGTAACCCTTCGGTGGCCTAATTGATACTGTCTTGTTGGTTGCTTATGACTTTGCCACCTTAAGATCTGCTTGGAGATTAGTTCTAGACTCATTTTGCATTTACATAACCTCTTCATACCTGATTGAATTTTGCTCTTGATGCATATAGCAATGAGATCTATACTACAGTACAATATTGACATATACGAGGACTCAACTAAAAGCTTCCGTTTCACTTCTGTACTTCCAGACCTAGCGCAGCTGCCCTAGACTTCAGCCGCTGTCTGTCCTACGTGGTGTTTGACGCTGTCAGCAGACTGTGGGGACCTCCTGCACTGCTGCTGCCACATCTGATGATGAACGCCATGTCTGGCCTGTACCTGATGTCTGCTGTCATCCAGGGAGTCAACCTACTTACACCTGTCATTAAAACTAACACAGTCAAACTGGATTAAGTAAGCCCCTGTCAGACATTCAGAACCTTCCATCCACTAGCAACCAACCAACTAACCAACCACCAACCAAGATTGGCTGAAGTTTGAGCAGTCTGACCAGATTTGGGCCATGCCTACCTTTTGTTACAAATCGCATAAAATTTGAAGTAAAGTTGACTGCTAACCACTGCTGACCTACTCCTAACCACCAGCCAACCAGTTGCCAACCTCCCATCCACACCCGAATGTTTTAAACATTTCAAAATATTTAGCTGGTGCCCCTGACCTACTCCTAACCATGGTTGACAGAGTTTGGCAGAGTTCAGCAGTGTTTGGAATTGCAATGATCACAAAAACAGTTTACTTTATTGTGCCCAGCTTAATATTGCCAGTTTGACTGTATAGCTTATATAATATACTCAATGTAATATACATATTACAGTTAAACCTGGAAAGTCTTTACTTCTTTTCATAACATATGATATGTTTGATACAGATGTATATCATTCAGCTGTAGCCATTTAGTATTTTTTCAGCATATTGAATCTTCATAGTTACATTTAAACAAAGCATAAGATTTGAAAAAATGCATTATCACAGCTGAAAGTTTGTGTATACTACATTTTGCTATCATTATTTCAATAGCCATTTTCATTCACATCATTTCATTCTATGATCTCAAAAACATGTAATAAACATTATTGGGCCAAAACATGTTGGTCTTGCATTTTGTTGCAAGTGCTTAACTCTAACTTGATTTTAAGAATTTTCAACTCTTCTTGTCAGTCCTATGTACCATATCATAAATGTGTCACATGGAAAGTTAGGCTTTATTTTCATGCTAACTAATTATGAACATACATTTTAAACATTGGCTGTCTGTCAACAACAGATGATTTGCATGTTTACCGGAATAAGAGAATTTTGGTCTGCTTTCAGCACTTTTTTTGAGGCTACTTAGTACCTCAACTGTTTTGTCAAGTCCCCCATTTATGCTATCAAGTCTAAATTCTCCCTAGCCGTGTGTCATCTGAAAAACTTCCTGAGGTAGTACTGCAAGTTGGGAGAATTGGCAGCCCCGATCACAGCAAGGACAATGACATATAATGTCATCAGGATGAAGAACTTATGGCGCTGGAAGAAAGATGGTGCCTGGACCCTACGGAAATAACACGAAAAAACAATTTTTAAGAACTTATCTCAACTATATCCTTTATCAATATTAAATAATGATTACATTGTCTCATACAGTTAAGGCCTACCTTAGCACACAAAGGTTGTAATGCTAATTGACTCACCTTGGCCTTGCCTTCCTTTCAGCATAGACAAGCACATACTTGACTCTCAACAGTTCATTGTTGCTCACGATGTAGTACTTCTCTGGTACTTCATGTTTGTCTTTGTTCTTGGCTCTCCCATTCTCTTCTGAAACAACATGAGTATAAAAAAAATCATACCAAAATAATGATACAAACAACCTACAAGGTTTAAGATGCAAGATCATTTTCCCAGGATCCGAGTACTCCAAATACAAGATACATCACAACAAGGACCTCCCAAAATTGTTGTTTCATGTTCCTCAGATCTGGATCAGACCAAAACATAACTTGCCTGCATAAAACAAAATTAAAAACTGTTTATCCATTCATGAAACTACATGTATTTATAACAATTATATTATGACAACTAGAATTTCATCTATTTTGAAAATTCACAGTACTTACATAATTCATACCTCATCATTAATTTCTAACCACTGGCCCTCAATCAATTAAATCAAAAGTGACTGAATCAACAAGAATGCCATTTCCAGTCTGACAGACATTACCTTCCACCTTGCTCTTGACATACTTTGGGTCCATGATGACCTCACACACAGCCACACAACTCATGGTTTCTCCTAGCATGCTCCTGTCCCACCCCTGACCTTTGTGACTGTAGATGATTGACACCCCAAGGTCACCTGATAGGTAGGTTCCCTCTCCAAATAAGGAATTCTGAAACAAGCGACATCAAACTGTTAATCATTTCACATAACCTGTAAACCACCTGTAAAAAAACTATAAACGCAGTTTTGGTACAGTAAGTACAAGCTGCACCAGGCTGTAAGGTTTGAACGGGTAACAGCAGAAAGGACTCTTGCTCTTTTTGACCCAAGAGGACGTCCCAAACTGTACTTTACCAGCTATGTGAAACAAATAAAGTACACATACCTTGTTGAGGTGTGCATGTAGCCCATTGTGCAGTATGGAGTGGAAGTTGTCCAGTCTGCTCCCGTGGAAGGCGTAGAACAGACTCCTGTCCTGTCGTGTCTCCTCAAACCTGGCATCTGTGCTCTCACTGTGGACGACTTCGAACATGTGGGAGGGGGGCGGAATGTTGGTGCTGGTGTAACCTGTTAACCTCTGCACCTCTTTGTACTGAAAGGGACAACAATCTGGTTTAAAAAGATACAGCCCCAGTCACACATAGCCAAATATGGTCTCCTGAACACTGCCAAACTCCCTACAAGGTAGGCCTCACTGACTTAATTTTATGGATGACATCCTATGAAGACCCCCAAACTAGTACATGCAGGCGAATAAAAAAAATCCGGCCAAAAATAAAAATGCTACTAAACCACAGGAATACAAAGCTGGTGTTGTGAATTTGCGGCAGTACTTAGCGATACAACAAGCCGGCACATGCTGGCTTTTTGCAGAATTTATAAATCAGCACTGTACGGTATGTACTGAGTTCTTGAGTTTTTGTTTTTTTTAGAACAGGCAAAAATCAATGCAAGTCGGTGTTGCCTTAAGGAATAACAATTTATTTCAAAAGAAGTTCATCAATCTGAAGTTAAGCAATAACAATACTGATTTGGCATTGACGTCTGACAACACAGAGTTCCTGACCTCGGCAGGTTCACAGGATCGCAGGTGGAAGTTTCTAGTCTCCAGGACCCAGTGGACCAGCTGTAATGTCTGGGCGTCAGAGGTTACCCGACTGTCCTGAAGCAGCTCCTTTACTCCTGACAGTCCTTTCCACACTGATTTCTGAAAAAAAATACAGAAAAATAAAACTGTGAAAGGGAGGCAGTTATCAAAAATGTCGCCAAAGGGCACAAAATTTGACATGTTAGGACAAAGACTCACATATAACAGCTATTTGTTTTGTTGTAATTTATCAACTTGGAAAGAACTAGGTGTTAAAATGTGGCGACACGTGACTGCAGATTTTAGCAGTTACAGCAATAAAACATATGAATTGAAGCTACAACAAATTTGCCACTACGTTAGATTAAGGTTGAATACTGATGTTGACATTTACAAGTGGCTAATTATTTGCACAGTTTCCCTTATACAATGATGTGAGTTAACTTACAAATAATCATCTGTTCTAATTAGTCTTTTTCAGTCATGTGTTATGTCAACCTAAACTCATAGGAAGTCCAATTATCCTATCTTCCCATTTTGAAATACATTATAATGAATAAACTTTATTTGCACAACAATTGTACAAGGTAGCCTGGGTTCCATCCTGGTTAGTTTACGTCCGCTCCCACAGTCGCTGGTTGGTCGGTAGCGACTGTGGGAGCGGACGTAAACTAACCAGGATGGAACCCAGGCTATGTACAAGGTACATCATGTGGCATATACTGTTTACATAACAGCAGTACTATCACGTTACTATGATAAGACTATAAGGGACTATGTGGTATGAAGTATGAGATGAAAATGTACATTTACAAATACGTAAGCTCTTTATCCCTGAAGGGGTACTGTTCAGGCTGGCTGTCAAGACTCACCAGTGCGGGGAAGTCCTTCTCGTCGTTCTGCCGTGCGAACCCGGGCGGGAAGGGGCGGAGTACGGTGTCGTGTCGGTAACTCAGCAGCGCCGCCGCGAACAGGCTCAGCTGCAGGTCCGCCGCCAACACGTCTCCTTCCAGCTTCTCTCGTACATTCGTCCTCACGTCTTCTGTCATAGCTTACAGAATCTTACCGTTCCAAATTATGTCTTAACACATATGCTCACATATACTATAGTCTAGAGCTCCACGTCGAATTCCTAAGGACTTGAAGTTATAACGGCCACGAGTTACAAAGCAAGTTTAAAACAGTGTAACACATTTCCGAGTAAGCAAAGTACACTCACAAACTGAACGTGTTTCATTTAAGTCGTCAAAGACTTTCAGAAAGTCGTCCAACCTGCTGAAAAGCAAACTTTTCCGTGTCAACATCCGCCATTTTGTCTTCTGCTAGTGCTACGTCATCTAACCATTAACCAAGTATCATTAACCAAAGTGATGAAATGTCATTTAGAATAACTCATGGCTTTTCATTTCACAAATGACAATCTGGATATCTGTTAGTACACTGACCATGCCAAACTTGCGTTATCTACTCACTAACTAAGCAAATTCCTCCATCGTAGCTCAGAAATCTGTTAACTCATTAACTTCTCCCAGCATGCAACAGCCAAAATGGAGGCCCGCCATGCGCCAAATATTCTGATCACAGGTATTTGCTGGCAGTTTCATGTATTATAAGCAAGAACGAAACTTCTTTACTCCTGATGTCAAACATTGGAGTCTTAAGATCGTATATAGCGTGCGGTTTTCCTCGAAAAGGGGTGGTACATTTGATGACACTGGTACATGTAGTACTCGTGTATAGGCACACGTGTTACATCCAAATTGGTCAAGGAGAATTTGTCAGTGAGTGAGTGTGCCTATCTGTATCTGTATCTGTATAGCCGGTATAACCGCCTTTCCGCGTATCACACCAGCTTCAATGCCTATGCCTATGCCATGTCATGTGTATTAAATGGTGTATTAAAACGAAACAGTGACCTGTGTCACTGGTGCTTGTCTGACATATCGCCAAAGCTAGTAGAGTTAACAAATATATCCAGTGTTATCGTCGTGGAAGTGGCTATTGACTGGCTGTCCCCCAGTCTAAAAGTGAAAAAGTTTTATTGACAGCCTTTGTCTATTTAGTTTCAAGACTGGTCCTGTAAGGTGTAACTCTAGTCGTGGCCACCGTTGCGAGACTTCTCTCGCCTGATTTTGTTACAGATCGTGCTTTAATATGCAAATGTCCTCTACCCCTAGGCACCCCTGGCACAGGGAAGTCCATACTTGGGAAGGAGCTGGCAATCAGGACAGGACTGAAGTATGTCAACATCGGGGAGCTGGCCAAGGAAAACAACTTCTTTGAGGATTGGGATGAGGAGCGGCAGTGTCATGTTCTTGATGAGGATAGGGTAATAATAAGATGCTATGTATTAACAGGAAAACCTTAACTTAGTGGTCGATGTACACAGACGACTCGTGTTGTAGTGTACATGGTCTGTGTAAGAATAACTATTGCTTATTCAAAGAATTTGGTCATGGCTACTGTAAGTAAGTCATAAAACTTTTGCAGTATGAGGGAAAGAGTGCTTTTCACTTTTGAATTTGCAGTTGAAACAGTTCTGTATTTCAGTCATACAATGAGGGAGGATGTAAATAAGATTTTTCAATCCAAACTGTTTCAATTTTTGTGGAAAAATGTTACATAATGCCCTTTTAACATAATGAACTGTTTCCATGCCCAGGTTATGGATGAACTTGAGGACCAGATGAGTGCAGGAGGGAACATTGTGGACTACCACAGCTGTGAGATGTTCCCAGAGAGATGGTTTGACATCGTGTTTGTCATGAGAACCAACAACACTGTGTTGTATGACAGACTGAAAAATAGGTACGTACGCTTTGTTATGCTATGTGCAACTGTATTTACTTTTACACGGCTCGAAATACTATGTGCATATGTATGAAGCTTGGAACCCAAACTTTGGGGACATATTATAGACTGAGTGAAATGGAAAAATATTGTGACTTCCCAGTCTTCCTACTAGGAAAAGAAGGAAGTTTCATCTCAAAAAGCAAGTATATTCTAATCTAAGGCCAACCACTTGTTTGAAACTATTGCAAATATGATTTAGTTAAGATACAACCGTATACAGATTTCAAATGAGTAATCTTTCTTTTTCCTTTCCAGGGGGTACAGTGACAAGAAGATACAAGAGAATGTTCAGTGTGAGATTTTCCAGACACTACTAGAAGAGGCAAGGGAGTCGTATAAAGTAGAGATTGTTCACGAGTTACAGAGCAACACACCACAGGAGATGGAAACAAACCTCAGTAACATCTTACAATGGCTGGTCCAGTGGAAAAATGACCACTCATAGACAATTGAGGTTTTACACATAAAGTTTTATTTAAAGAAAAAGTTTATAGTATATGATTTTGTTTTTCTTTATTAATAATCATTTGAAGGAAGATATGTGTATGGCATGGTATGTTGTTTTTTTCTTTCTTTAGGGAAAACAAGGAAGGAACAAATGTTCGCAACTTATCTTTATACTAAATATAGTAATTTAGGATTTTTCATACTGTTTAATTTATAATCATGTAAACTTTGAGAATGTGACCACAGTCAAACAATAACTGACATGTAATACTACTTTTATCACTGACCCAATGGCATTGCAATGGGCCTGATCAAGTACATTGTCTTTGCAACTTGCTACTAATGGTGATGTATTTTAGTCAATGTTTAGCAAGTTAACTTCTCAAGTCTACATACAGCACTGTGTCTATGGCATATGGAAACAATTGGAGTGCACATATAAGGTGCATGTTTTTGTACCATGCAATCTTCATGGAAAGGAATGATAGACATTATAAATTACATGTGTGTACAAATGTTGTTAGGGAAATAGCTGAGAAACTTTTTTGATAGAAGTGCTCAGATGTTCAAGATAAAATGAGACAGGCTGAAAGTGCTAGTGTAACCTACCTTCAACAATTGAATTAAATGGCCTGCTATTATGCCCTTGTTTATGGTGTCACAGACCATTTCTTCAGTCGCTTGCAGAGTCCTAACTGTCCCATGGGTTGGGCTGGGGTGCACTGTATCCTGTGGCACCCTGCAAGCTTTCATCTTCTGTGTCACTCTTATCGTCCTCGAATGTGAGCGGGCTTGCTGCTGTTCCATGGCCCACTGTCTGTGGAAAATGACCCTTGGCACCACTCTGATCTTTAGCCTTCAGCAGTTCCCGTTGTAGCGTAGTGAGCTCGTGGACTGCTTCGCTGCTTCCAAGACGGGAGGCCTTTTCTAGACACTTGGCTTATCCGAAGTGGCCTTTGCCTTTCTTGCTGTACGCCTTTCCCAACCCTGCCGGGCTGGAGGTGTCGTTGCCGTCGATCTGAAGTGCATATTTGTAGTACCTGATGGCTTTGTCTTCCCTTCCCGATTCTAGTGCAAATGCCGCTCTAACCCTGTCATGTTCGTCAACTTTGCACCAGCTATCCAGCGCAAAGTCCAACCTCCGATAAACATCTTTCACACCCCGATATTTCAGTTCCTCACAGAGCTGTATCAGTGTTCCTGATCCAATACCCATTACAGGTAACCCATACCAATGGTCAACGGTCAACCATTGGTATGGGTTACCTTAGCAAGTAATCACATAAAGTTAGCATTATGAAATGTAGTACTAATATGTAATGTGCACATTCTTCTTCCATATAACAGATTTATTTCACAGTGTAAGCTTCAGAAATATATATCTGTATCTATAGGGATGGGCGAGGCCCGTTCCAAGTCGAGCTCAGAAACTAAATTCTTGGTTTCACTACGTCATAGTTGATGACGATCACGTTACTGCATAGATTATGCTAACGTACTAGAGATCATGTCAATATTTATTTATTCATTGTGATTTACCACATATTGTAGAAGGATTGACACAACAGGTGACTATAACCTTTTCAAGATGCCAACCTGTGGATAGACAGACAAGACCAAACAAAACTAGGTACCCAACTGAATCGAGTGAGGAAAGAGGTGCAAATGCATTTCCCAAGGGCACATCCGCACAGGGATTCGAACCCTGAACCTTCAGATTCTGAGTCAACAAACCCTAACCACAAGACCACCCTGTCACCTTAAGCTTAGACTCGGGACACAATGGTTGTACTTTAATACAGATGGTTGTACTTTAATACAGAGGGCAATGGAGACTTCCGACTCTTTGAATAGCAAATATTTTACAATTGACGTCGATCTTCAAGCTGGTACTGTAAACAAACGGGGCAACTCTTATTTAAACAAATTTGCTTTTAGCTACGCTGCAGAAACTACGTATGCAAATTAGCTGATAATTTCCTGAATATTTCTGCCAACTTTGATCTGGTCTGCAGATCAGAACACCCGCCATGGAGCGCGACTTGTTAGAAAAGCTTCAGAAGTTTCCGAGTCCTTTTTTCTGGCACTTGAACACGTCGATGTACGATAACGTACATGAAAAATTGAGCGAGTGGAAATGTTCCAAAGCTGACGGGCTGGCTTGTAAGAACGCCATGGCCTTCCTGTCTTTCGCTCGGGATAATGACTCATTACAGGCCCGCCAACAGTTTCAGGAGGTTTTGGAGGAAGACCCAGAGAACCTCGTGGCACTGACAAGCCTGGCTTACATAGATGTTAAACACAGCAATGTGGAACAGGCAGAGACAATGCGAAAGACGTTGGTAGAACTGAAGGAGTCGGGAGGTGAGTCTAAAGTCCAGGGCAGGTGGGCCGCCGCCATGTTTGAAAAAGCATTTTGCCTCACTCGATTTGGCCAGTGGAAATATGTGGAGGCTCTAGGGTGCGTTGAAGAAGCCCTAAAGTTCGATAGCAGCAACGTTGAGTGGCTAAAAACAGAGACTTTCCTGCTAACAAAACAAGTCGAGAACAAGGCATTGCTCCGAGCGGGTCATGGTGAAATCAAAACTTTCCTCGACCGGGCAGCGGACAATGTTCTCAAACTACAACAGAAGGAGCCCGGCAGTGGGGAGGTTCTTTGCATGACGGCTGAGCTGTTTGAGGCCGCTAGAAGCACAGACCAAGGTCGAGTTTGGATGGAAGCCTACAAGCGTAAAAACCCGAACCAAAGTCTTAATCCATCAGTCCTATACCAGGAGGCTTACGCACTTTGCCCGACAGATCAGCATGTTTGCCGACAGGCAGTACTTCACTTCAAGGCTGTGCGTGAATGGCAAAAGCTTGAAGAAATCCTTCCGAAGGCTCTCAGTCATTTTCCCAACGATCACGTCCTTTACCATCAATATGCGCTCCGATATTTCATTCCGTTTCAGAATGCACTGGCGGAAGCAAAGAAGGCTACGGGCAAGGCCAAGGAAGAGGCAGAAGCAAGTGCAAAGGTCAAGAATATGGCATCCGCCTTCTTGCCCAAGGCAGAAGAGTACCTCCGAGAGGGGGTAAGGCTTGACCCGCTCTTCACACGTTGTAGGGTCTGCTTGGCCCAGTGCCTTTACTATCAAGGTAAAGTTCAGAAGAGTTGGGAACAGTTCCGTATCGCAGCAGAGAATACCAGACACAACAGGAACAAAGTCGAAGCGAAAAGGGAATGGGCCAGGCTCCTGATCGAGGACGGGAATGAATCGGGAGCACTGATGCAGCTCTGTGAGGCACTGAAGTTTGAAGATCAGGTTGGCCATGGCGTGCCAGTCTACCGCGGCGTGGACAACGCTCTGAATATCTGGTGCAAACTCGACCAACGCGACCCCAGACCTATCCGAGTTAGGGCGGCGTTTGCACTAAAAGCGGGATACGAAGACAGAGCCATCGAATGCTACAAACAAGCACTCAGAATCGATGAAGACGACACCTGCAGTCTGATTGGCCTTGGAAAGGCGTACAGGAAGAAGGGCAAAGACCATTTCGAGGAAGCCAAAAAGTGGCTTGTGAAGGCCTCTGGCCTGGGAGACGACAAAGCAGACGATGAGCTCTTTGAACTGGAAATGGAGATGATACAAATAGAAGAGCAGAGTGGCGTCGCGAGTTCTCCTTGTCAGAATGTGGGCCCCGGGGCAACAGAAAGCCCGCACACTTACGAGGATGAGTAGTGTGAGTAATGTGTAGTAATCTTACTACCTAGTAAAGCTTGCAGAGTGCCAAAAAATCATAGTACGGTCAGTGAAACTGTAAGGACTATTCAAAGACGCGATTCTGCAGAAACTAAACAGAAATAAACAGCATGATGACGTCTAAGCTGAAACATCGGTGCGTGTAAGCTGAAACAAGTTATAAACCGCAAATGCAAATGACGTATTCTACTGTTTGAACAGCGTTTACAGACACAAGGACCGAGAAATACCGTCTATCTCATGAGACGATGGTAGCGCTCCGAGAAGATACAGGTCAGTCAAGCTCTAATTAACCTTTAAAAGTAAAAAAAATATTGGAACAGGCAGAGTACAATGGAAAGAAATGCAGTATTATTTGTCAGAAAGAAAAGAAGCAGCCAAAGCAGTTGCATCAATGGATGTATCAGTGCATTGATTTGTACCTAAGAGGCTTGTACATATATAACACACTTGTTAGTTGATTCTCAACATAATGTAGAGAATTCTATGTATAGACAGAATGTAATGTACATCTTGTGCTAAAACTGAACAGAAACCAAGAACTTTACGACAATATACACGATAATAAACTGTACCAACAGGTATGTAACTATCAACTCCATTTGCAATTGATTCAAAATGGAATGATTTGTATTCAAAATGTAAGAAAATTAAATTTGTAAGACCAATTTAATATCACCGATATTGTTGTCTGGCAACTCCATCGCAACTTCATAACATTCAAATCGTAACGTAATATTTTCAGCAGTTTGGAAAGACTTGTTCCGTTGAAAGGTTTGACCTCCGTAACTCCACCTGCGCCCATGGTTTCACTACGTCATAGTTCATGACGCGACGATCAGGTTACGAACCGATTATGCTAATGAGGTAGGGATCCTGTCAACAGTTGTAGATAAATGCAAAAATGTCACCAGAACAGATAAACTAGTACACTACCATCACTAAAAGATAGCTATTGAAACAAGAGGATGGTTTATACGTAAAAATAAAGTGGGAGCTAAGGACGTCAGACTCTCTCAATGGCATTTGACCATTGACCTCCAAGCTGGTAACGTAAACAAACGGGGTATAACGTTTACTTAAGCAAACATGGTTCCACCTTCGCTACCGAAACTACGTATGCATATGAGCTGAGAATTTCCCGACTATTTCACAAGATTTCGGCATAAATTTAAAGAAGTCTACAGAATCAGAACAACAGAGACATGGAGAGCGACTTGTTGGAAAAGCTTCAGGAGTTCCCGAGTCCGTTTTTCTGGGACTTGAACGAGTCGATGTACGAAAACGTGCACGAAAAATTGAGCCAGTGGAACTGTTCTGACACCGACCGATTAGCTTGGAGTAACGCTACAGCTTTCCTGTCCTACGCTCGCGACAAGGACACCTTACAAGCCCGCCAACAGTTTCAGGAGGTTTTGGAGGAAGACCCAGAGAACCTCGTGGCACTGACAAGCCTGGCTTACATAGATGTTAAACACAGCGATGTGGAACAGGCAGAGACAAGGCGGAAGTTGTTGGTGGAACTGAAAGAGTCGGGAGGTGAAAGTCGAGTCCAGAGCAGGTGGGCCGCCGCCATGTTTGAAAAAGCATTTTGTCTCACTCGATTTGGTCAGTGGCGATATAGGGAGGCCCAGACATGCATTGAAGAAGCTCGTATGTTCGACAGCGACAACAAGGAATGGCTAAAAGCAGAGACATTCTTGCTTACTAAACAGGTTGAAAGTCAGGCGTTGGCTAAGCTCGAGTGCCTTCCGGTGATATTAAAACTTTCCTGGACCGGGCAGCGGCCAACGTTCTCAAGCTACAACAGATGGAGCCCGACAGTGGGCAGGTTCTCTGCATGGTGGCTGACCTGTTCAACGCAGCCGGAAGTACAGGCCAGGGTCGAACTTGGACGAAGGCGTACAAGCGTAAAAATCCAGACCAAAGTCTTGATCCATCAGTCCTATACGAAAAGGCTTACGCACTGTGTCCGACAGATCAGCATATTTGCCGACAGGCGGTTCTTCACCTCAAAGCTGCACGCGAATGGCAAAAGATGGAGGCCATCCTGACGGAGGCTCTCAAAGCCTTTCCCAATGACCATCTCCTTTACCATCAATATGGCCTCCGGTATTACATTCCGTTTTCACTAGCACTGGAGGAGGCAAAGAAGGCTAAAGGCAAAGGCAAGAAAGAGGCTCGGGCAAGTGAAAAGGTCGAAAAGGCATCCGCTTCATTGTCCAAGGCAGAAGAGTACCTCCGAGAGGGGGTAAGGCTTGACCCGCTCTTTACACGTTGCGGGATCTCCTTGGCCCAGTGTCTTTACTATCAAGGTAAGGTTCCTGAGAGTTGGGAACAGTTCCGTAAGGCAGCTGAAGACTCCAGAGACAAGAGGAACAAAGTCGAAGCGAGAAGGGAATGGGCCAGGCTCCTGATTGACCACGGGAATGAATCAGGGGCGCTGATGCAGCTCTGTGAGGCACTGAAGTTTGAAGGCCAGGCTGGTGTATCTGTCTACCACGGGCTGGACTACGCTCTGAATAGCTGGTACAAAATTGACCAAGGCAATCCCAGACTTATTCGACTTAGGGCAGCGTTTGCACTAGCAGCAGGAAATGATGACAGAGCCATCAAATGCTACAAACAAGCAATCAAAATCGACGAAGACGACACCCCCAGTCTGATTGGCCTCGGGAAGGCGTACAGGAAGAAGGGCAAAGACCATTTCGAGGAAGCCAAAAAGTGGTTTGAGAAGGCCTCTGGCCTGGGAGACGACAAAGCAGACGATGAGCTCTTAGAACTGGAAATGGAGATACTACAGATGGAAGAGCAGAGCGGCGTCACGAGTCCTCATGAGAATTTGGACCAGGGAACAGCTGAAAGTCCGCACACTAGTACTTACGAGGATGAGTAGAGTGATGAGTAAGAACTTGATGACGTCTATGAACTGAATCAGGTGCGTGTGTAAACTAAACAAACTGCAACTGAAGTGCTCTGCTGTGCGAACTACAGGCACAAGGATCGAGGAATGCCGTTCATCTTATGAGATGGTGGTAGCGCTCTTCTGAGATATAGGTCAGTCAAGCTGTAACTATTCTTTCTTGAGAGGCAGAAAATATTTGAAAACAGGAGACGGGCAAAAAACAAGAAGTAGTCAAAGCAATGGCATAACTGGAATGTGCCAGTGCATTGAAACTTTTTTGATGAAAAATTCCATCCCATGGATACAAAATAACACACCCCAGTTGTCCTTGAAGGAGAATTATATCTAACAATATATTGACTTTCGAGTAACATTGCAAGGTATATCACCGTTAAATCTACAAACTAATGCTAACACAAACAATAGGAATTAAGCTTTTTATACTCTATGTACATGACTGTTAACTATTCCAAGCAAAATTGTTCACCAAATACACTTAAAATCAATAGTTTCTACATTTGTACATTTCTAAAGCAACGTTGCTTGACTATTTTCACTTGATCCAACCAAATTATTGACAATGAACACATTCAGCAGCATACAAACCTGAATATGTAATACATATGAGTATTCTGTACAAAGTGTATCCGTTCCAAAGTTTTGTGATATTTACACTGAGCTGGTCTGTAAATATTTGACAAGCAATTGAGCAGGGCAGAAATATGTATAGCCACCATCTACATGCACTGTTCAAGGCAGAGCTTCTACATAGGGCAAGGTTGCTAAAACCCCTTGGTCACATTTTGTAAAAGAAAACTTTTCTTGTGTTTCTGTGCGTGCCCTTTCAACTAACAATAAAGACATTAAATGCAGGTCTTAATGTCATGTTGTCTCAGCTGTAGAATCCAGCTGACTTTCTGGACTGAGCTGAGCCTCTTGCACTTCTCACTTCCTCTTCAGTGATCTACAATGGCAGAAAAAAGATTAAACGTGTTTCAAACAGCTAGCATGCATAAAAAGGTATTAAGGTCTTTTTGAAGCCTAGCTTTCCTATGGTAGATCATACCATGGAATAGCCTTCAAATACAAACCATGCTTCACTTTAAATTGAAATGAACAAAATGTTCAGAGAGTTCTTACCTGCACTACTGGTACCCTTTTCTCTTCTTCTTCTTCTTCCTTTTCTTCTTCCTCCTTCACCTCTCCCTCAGCTGGACCTTCCTCTTCTTCTCCTTCCTCCTCATCTTCCTCCTCCTCCTCTTCTGTCTCTCCTCCATCCATCCATTCCCGGTCTCTCCCCCTTGGCTTGAACATCTCCCGCTGTTTCTGTGACACAAGTTTAAAACACATGTCGTATGACCCATTGCTGAGATCTCATGGCATACATGACTGGGTATCATCATCAGGGTTTTGTCATTTATGATCTTTAGGAAGGCTGCAGTAGGGAAGCCAAAAATTTGGTGGTCTCCATATTGTGAATATGATGTGGCAGCTCTTACCATAACATGACAAATAATATGTATCATCAAACTAGCTCAAATATAGATGAAAACTTTCTGTTCAAATACTAACCCGTTTGTCATGAACCTTTTCAGTAAACACCTTCATCTCCCAACTCTGCTTTGAAAGGTCATGTTTTAACCTGTAGAACATAAAAGCAATGAATATCAGTTATACTGCATCATCATTATAGTGCAAGCTGACCTGTGACAGGATTATTGAAATGTTCACGCTGCATGATTTTTTTATTATCCCATACCAAAAACTGAAAACAGATCAACCAAAATGGACAAAAAGGATGAAAGATCCAATGTTCAGATTCCGTTAGTCACTGACAAAAATTAGTGGATGCTACTTGAAATGTCTGACAGTTTTCAAAGTCTATCCAGTTTCTTGATTAATTGCCCTACTCACTTCTCTATCTGTTTGACAGCATCTCTTCTCTGTCTCTCTATTCTCATCCTCTCCTGGGCAGTGATCTCACAGATCCTGAAAAAATGGTGATTTACGTAAATGTGAGAAAACATTTAACCCTGAACTGCATTAGCAGGAAGATGCTGAACTGGATATACATGTAGAAGTTAAAGCTTATCAAAAGACATGGTTCAAGCAAACACATACAGGGGTGTACCCCCCACCTTTTTGGAAAATAATGCTGGTTGTTCTTGGACATAGGTGATACTCAACAATTGTCCCTCCATACAAATATGAATCATTATAGTAGCATGCATATCAGTGTTTATAATTGAGTAGGCAAGGATGCTACCCCCGACCATGTGATGTGTCTATGTCCATGTGATGTTTACAATCATGACACAATTAATTAGAACTAGACTCCTTACTTCTTGTACTCGTCCTGAAGAGTCTTGGTCATCTCCAGTGACTCTCTGATGACGTCTCGGTAAGTTGGGCCGGGGGGAGTGGGGGAAGGTTAAGGAATAGTATTTAATTTGCATTAGAAGTTCAACTTCCCCTGTAGTTTTTATAATTCTACCAAAGAACAAAACGATGAATCTGTCCATAATTTTTTTAGGCACTGTATACTCTCTCAGGCATTCAGATAGCAGAGCACAGAGAAGGTATGAGAAAGGTGATTGACAGAGTTTCTGTATACATATTTCTGACAGTGCAATTTTCCTTCATCTATAGATGTTGTTTTTGGACTGCAAGTGATGGCTTTCAAAATCCCTTCCACACACAGACCTCTAAACACTATAAGCCCATCTAAACATAACATATTCATTAGATGTAACTGTGAATGTAAAGGATATGGCAGCTTCTTGACCTCTGTCCTGCGTACCCTCCTCCCCACCAAGTCTCTGGTTTCCCGCTCCTCCAGACTCTTCATCTGCAGGTAGTGGGAGACCAGTGGACTCCGCCCGGAGAGGTTAAAGGTCACACGTTCAAACTGGGGACCTGGGCCTGTCTGGTGAGACTGTAAGGGCAAATTGTGTAATATTCGGGTCTCAAATACTGTAGTGTGTGCTATGGTTATTGAGCAAGACTGCAATGGCAAAGTATGAAAATACAATGAATGAATCTCTAAAATGCATTGTAGTATGTAACATAGTTTAACTAACTGGTCTCTCTTAGAGACGTTTTGAACACACCTTATCTGTAAAATGTTTAATAATATGCAGGTTAAAAGTCAGACTAACAAAGTCACAGGCAAGCAATCTTGAAAAATGATAAGCTGTGTCACCTCTATAGGCTGCAGCTTGGGTGTACTGACTGTAGCAATACGGGACTCAGTAGTCACACCACCCTGGGTACCTGTGAGGGCAAAAAACGGTGCTCACAAGAAAGGCTTCAATACCCACATACATATTTAGAGTTGTAACTTGTATCATCAAACAATTGTTGTAGAGCAATCTAAAAGAATGCAGCTAATTGTTTTCTTTCCTTGGTACTGAGTGACATTTTCCATGTTCTGATGTACTACTAAGTTAACCCTGTCCTTGGTGCTGAACAGCACTCACACAAACTACAAGCAATGCTGAAAGAACCATTCTTACTTGTACAATGTACCTTGATGACAAATGACATTACGGTAACAACTTTGCACTGCAGGTACAATGTTGACCATTGGTACTGTCCTTGGTGCTGAATTACATTCCATATTCACACTAATATCATATAAGCTGTTGATAGATAGACGATACTACATACAGAATGGGACTGTCGAATCATTTTATTTCCATACCTGAAAATACTGCACCATCTGGGTCCCAATAACTAATCAAATACCGAAAGTCAGAGAAATCCTTGAAACCAACGTGAGTTTCAGCTGTGAACGCAACTGAAAAAGGACCTTCCCACAGAAGGATATCTCCTTTCCTGGTAACCATGCATGGAAATGACAGTAGGAGAAGCCATGACTCACCGACTCTCGTGCTCCTGCTAGGCAGCTCCCTGGCCTTGACCGGTGACTGCGTGGCGGTTGTTCCCGTGGCAACACGAGCTTGGTCAGCTTTGCCCAGCCGACTGATGTCACGCAGGTCCGACATGTCAAAGTTCAAGTTGAAGTTCACTAAAACAGCAAATAAGTTGTTAAATTTAAACATGAAAGCTATCCTGGTGAAAAGTTCCTTCACCTTCTGAATTCTTTGAAATTCCTTAATCATTGGTTAATTGACAATGTTCCTGCGGCTCTTGATTAGCACAGCAGCTCTTCCCATACATTCAGAGGCCCAAGTGTTAGTATAGGAGAAAAGTGCAGATGCTCAAGAAAAAAATTGTACATGAGACTGGCAGAGGTTATTCCAATATATTAGCTGTACAAACGTTAATGTTACAGCAACACATACAATTCCTGATTTTATATGATTTCAGGATGTTGACTTATACATGTAAGATAGACAATGATTCAGCAAGCAAATAGTTTACATTTAAGATGCAGAATATAACAATTCTGGATAAGCCCAACTATCATTTTGCACTGATTGTTAAACTGCTGTCAGCCAACCATCACCATGTTGTAGTACACAGTTTTTGTTTTGCAGCAAAGCCACCTTGTTCCCGCAGCACACAGAAGTGCCTTTTTGCTCTTTATCAACCTGGTTTTGTTCCCACTCCTGATTGGTTAGAGCTCCTTTTACTGGACTCTGATTGGTCACTCGCAGAGCTGGTCCGCATCACTAGACCCACCAAATCTACAAACCTGACTAAAAAGGTAATGGTTTTATTTACTTCACATATCTTCATTACAACAACCTCAGTGTAGGTCCATGCACACATGAACATACTAAATAAGGCATAATATTTAAAACCAGACAGAAAGACAGACCGAGGACAAAACATGTTATCTGGGTATTTGTAGTACCTGTTTTGGTGAGAGATGTTGCAGCGGCCATCATGGACTTCTGTTTGCTGTGTTCGTCATCAGCCATGGCTGTGGGGCTCTTGGGTCGCAGGCGCTTCAGGTTCCACTTACGCCATGACTCTGGGGGCGGGCGGGTACCTGTTTGTGGGGGAGGGACAAATAACATTTTCTTACAGATGGACTCATAGTACAGAATCAAAAGTCAGCCATTTAACATTTTTTCCTGGATCACAATTTACCATCTCTACACAAAACATGACAGGAACAGTTACTAGTTTCTGAATTACACTGAGTCTCTCTCTTCCTACCAGCCTCTCTAGTTATCTACTATCAGTCATGTGGTGATAGTGTTTACTAGGCTAGGAGATGGTATACGAATCTGTTAAAGTATATGAATTACTTATCTAAAATAGTATCACTGGAAAATATCAAATGGCTAAAATGATTTCACCAATGATTGAGCTTTTTCCTGCTAACTAACCCCATAGCCAAGTAGATAACTGGTAGCCAAATGGTTACTAAAGTGAGTCTGTTACCAGAAATGCCAAATGGCTACTAAAGTAAGTGTTACCAGATATCCACTCCGATATGATATTGATGAGATCCTTGATGAATCTTTCATCAAACTTGTCCTGGGACTCGGGGAAGGCTTCGGCAAAGGCAGCATAGATCGACTGGGCCAAACAGTCTGCATACACCTGGAATAGGACGCATTCATAAATCTGTTTTCTGAAGAAAAATCTGAAGACTTGAGATGTTGGAATTACTAGGGTTTTGATAATTTAGGACAAAATTTGGCCAACAAAAACAAAGAAAATGGCATCTAAACAACATGTCCTGACCAAATACAGCCAAGTCAATTTATCCTGGGAATGAAGGAAAATAATCACAGCAGCAAAGCCTACAAAACTTCAATAAAGGCCCTTGCTTGAGGAGACCCACACCTCGAGCATGTCAAAGATCCCACCACACTTATGGAAAAGAGTAGGGGTCTATCTCAGTGTGAGTGGCTCAGGTTTTACACACAGTTTGTACTTACTGTACAAATTGGTGTCCTATGTCTAAAGGCATTTTACCATTTATGCAAAACAAACATACATGACAATACAAGACCAGATTTCAGGCATGAAGATGTGACTCAGAAGCTTACCTTGAAGTACTTGTCCCTGACGTCAGGGTGTACAGACATGAATAGGGCCACAAAGCTGTCTGCTATCCGGTTGAACAGGCGGTCCTGGTCCTCTGGACGGTTTTTCTACCAAACAAGACATTGTTATGTAAGTAAGATCCCCCCAGACTATGAGAAATGGAAACCCCTGCACTAAGTCTTCCATTCTAGTCTTTCTATTTTTTCCAATTTATCATTATACATTGTTCAGAATGTAAGAATATAAAAAAAGAACAACAGACTCTATGTGCAATGTATACACAGACAAAGGTGTAAATACAGTAACTGTTACAGTACTAGTATTCAGATGTTATCATAATGTTTTCTTTTCTAAACTCACCTCAAATTTCTCCAGAAAGTACCACCAGAAGGTGTCCTGCATCACAGCCACTGATGCTTCTGACAGGAACAACTTCTTCCACAACTTCTTAAAGCCAGGCTGCACACATAGTCATACCGGTGTCATGGGAACAGTAAATATGGAAGAAGAGTAAATATGGAAAATAACCATCATAAACCAGCATCTGCTTACACTTGGAATCGCTTATACTACCGGTAGTAATCTGAATTTATGTCATGGGCCATGATAACATTCGATACAGGTGTTCCAGTCCGTGTGATAACTACCCATATTACACTGGGTCCTAACAATTATTACTCAGGCTTCAAAAAGCTCCGTAGACTAATCTGAACATGCTTTGCATGCCCTACTCCAAAATTAAGCTACCAGATTTGGATGTCAGAATTGATTTGGGGGTATCAGGTTGCATAAATTTCTGGCAAAATTTTGCACTAATCTGAAATGTGTGTTTTCTGGGGTGTGTACAAAATACTACATGGTGTCACCTGTGTCACCCTCAGTCCCAGCCCTCCCATGAAAGCCAATCTGACCTGCAGTCAGGCTGGTACCTACACTGTGTAGTATTCTACACATGTATGTATCACACAGTACTAGTATGATAACCTACATTGAAGTCCTGTGCCTTGGTGACCCTGTCCATGACCTGTGGAGCCTCCAGCTGCTGTGGCAGGTCTAACAACTCCGCAGCACGGAAGCCAGGAAAGGACGCATACTGCAGGGGATATACAGACAGCTTCCGCTCATTGTATGTTATTGTGATACGCAATGTACCAGTGAGTTTAATTTCTTACATACAGCTTCACGTTACCAAATGTTGCCTTGAGTAGGCCAAGTAAAGGTAGGATTTACAAATGGAATTTTCGAAGTTATGGATAAAATACTACAAAATGTAAAAGCGTAAAGTATAGTCAAACATTTTATTCATGTCTATAGTATACTTTTTCATCCAATGTTCATGAAAAGAGTTTATTCCTTGAAGATTTAAAGATAATTCCTATGCCTTAGGAATGAACTCAATCGACTGGATCTAAACTCCTGACCTGTATGCTCTTACTGCGTGATGCCTGCATGGCTTCAGCCAGAGTCTGTTTCTTCTTCCTCCTCCGGCTGTGATGAGTCTGAACAGCTGCGTTCTTCTCTACAACCTCTGTCAGGAAAACTGCATGGGGCCAGAAATACAAGTAGATTTGGCGACGTACACCCAAAAAGTACAACTTTCACATGGTCAACAACAAAATACACAACAGAAATACAAAATGAATCCTGACTGTGGTGGGTTGGCTTTCTGTTGTGTTGTGTTGCAATGAGACAAGGCAACATATTGCCTAGATGGACAAAATACTGAAACAAGCACACAGTGATATACAACATGAGCCATTTAGGCATTACAACTGTTGATTGAACCAGTACCTACCATCTGATGGTGTGTGAAACAGCCCCTCAGCCAGGCGGGAGGGTCTGTGGTCGTCGTCCAGGATGTGCTGTGCGTACTGGTCCAACTTTATCTCCAACTCATCCAACTTCTGCTCAAACTGGTCCAGCAAGCCCATGGACAGAGCTGGGGCAAAGGTCAGGGGCCAAACTATTTGTGTTTACAGTTATTAAAATGGGTTTTATAGAAGATAAATTTGTCATAGAATTCATTCCAAAAATCTTTTTTTTTGCAAATGGCTAATCCAAACATCTACCCATCATACAAAGTTTGCTTTGACTGGTGGGTCTGAAAATCACTTGACACCAACCTGAAGTTATCTAATCTCTTTGAATCTAAGAAGATCATTAGCTTTATACTTGTAGTTGGTTGTACACCCTTCCTGCTAACTCCTCAGAGTTTGGTGCTGAAATTTCACAAACTGGAAATACTCAGATTGAAAATGGACCCTCTACCCCTCACCCTGAGTACACTTGTCAGCCATCATATAGAATTTGTATATCACAAAGTTTTCCATCATATTTTCAGTCCAACTGTGACTTGACAGCAGCAGAAGGATACGTGCATGTTTCCTGAGCTCATCCACAATGTCCTCCTTCCCACTGAACAGCAGTTCCTCATCCTCCAGGTGCAGGGGTCCCTCCGAGGTGATACGTAAAGGCCACTCTTCCTGGAACAGGAGTTTTGTGTAACATGTGTGATACTGATCCAGATTTGTGAGCAAGAGTGCTATCCTGTCTGCAAATATGTTGAAGGTCAATAGCATAGATTTACAAAAACGGCATCTTCCCACATCACTGAATCTCAGAAAATCAACACAAATGAATTTGTAACTTATATTTTGGGGCTACAGGAGCAAAATGCAAGCATGTAGCCCAGACAGGCTACATAATAGGACTGTAAGTGAGAGAAATCCTACAAGTTGCCACATGTACATGTACAGAGTAACAATTTTACTGATTGAAAGAATCTTTCTCCCAGAACTGGTCACAAACGTACCAGTTTCTCCATCTTCATCCACTCCGCAGGCGTTGTTGGAGGAAGTACAGGTCCTGTGGGCTGTTGTACAAAAGAAACAAAAATGATGCCATAACACTGCACAGATTCAATAGCATGCTGGGAGAGCAGGGCATCTATGTTTAGTGCTGGGGGACAAACAACATAATTACAATCAGAACACGCATGTGGTGCATCTATACAATGTCTATTGAGCATTAGGGTGTTCTTTGGGTCCTCAGTTATCCACTTGAAAAGAACCCCCCACCCACCTTCTCTTCCTGTGCCTCCTCGTCCGGCTGCTGTAGGGACGCCATGATGGCGAGAATCCGCGGGTCGGTCAGCGGGCTCGGCTGCGGTTGGCTCGTCATCCTGCTTTATATATACACGATCTCAGGCCAGAATGGCTCCCAATGTTGTATTATCCCGACCGGGTGTTGATGTCTGCGCCGAGGCACCGCAGTTATAGTGTTGACTAAAGCGGAGAGCTGACCCGGGAACTGCCGGTTGAGTGAGCAAATTCGAAGGGGGGCGAGATCTAGTTTCAGGACTTCTATTTTCTGCAAATAAAATCGGAAATACTGAGGTAGGCAACTGTATTACCAGTCACTTTGGAAGACTGGTGCAGTCGGGGGTCGATCCTAGGATCCAAATTACTTGAATTTACAGTGGAAAGAAGAAATTTTCACCCGGGAGCGTCCTCTGTTGCTATGGGCGCCGCCATTTTGTAAGTGATGGTTACCGCAGTGCATTGTGGGTAAACTTGAACAGGTGGTTGGAGAGATGTTTTAGAGCTAAATCTCAACAAAAAGACCAAAGCAACGACAAAAAATGAAGATGATTTTAAGATTTCACAGTTTTAAATCTTCCACGGCTGCTTGTGGATGCTTTAGAATTTAGAAAGTTAAATTGCCTGAGCTGAAACAAACACAAAGCCGGCATTACACGTTAGCAATTTGCCCGTGAGTGTGTAAGTCAATGGCAAACTCCTTTGGCAAATTATACACCATATTTGGTCAATTTGACTACTTCCTCAGCAACTCCAGTGTCTGGAGGAGACTAGGTGGTGTCAACGTCAAGCTACCGTCCTGCGAACTCTTTCAAGCCGTTGTCATTGACGCAGTCTAGCGGCGTGGCGCCGAAATGCAGTTAAGTACTACAATTTGTCAATGTCGGCCTAGTAGTATATTGTATGTTACCTAAACATGAGACAAAGGATTGTCCTAGGTTTTTAGCTATGTATTTAATATGTCATTCATCTTGTATGGAATAAAGATGATTTTAACCCCCTAGTAGTACTCGTCACTGTCGGCCTAGTAGTAGTACTCCAAAAGCAGAAGTTGTGAACTGGAAATTTGAAAAGTGCAGCTTTGTGTTTGTTCTCAGCTCACTTCGCCCGATGAAACACATGCCAGAAGGTACATGTACTACCACTAAGCAATGGCAGTGTTTTGTGTATCAAAGTCACGGTCACACTCGTCGTATACGATCGCAAACTGAGGGCATTCTTGGAATAGAACTTAACATGTGCCATGCATGCGCATATCGCACAAAATTCAGCTGCCTTGTTGCCGAAAAGGTAGCCTTATATCCCTTTCAGTGGTAAGTTCAGTCACAGCCTGCTTCAAAATGGTAAAACGACTACGACGAATGTGACCGGTGTTTCAACTATGATATTTTCAAGGTTGGAGTTATGGCATGAGTAAATGCTAGCGGACAATCCTGTCAGAAAGACAATGTTTAATTTGTAGATATATACATATTGAAAGCAGCAGCCTCCGGAAGCCCATTAACCTTTTATATAGAGTGACGACCCCAGATTGGATGGCCGCGTCCAAACGCGACTCCTCTCTAGCTAGATGTATGAGAAAACGTGCTGCACCCACATCCGCAGCTAATCTCATCCCCACAAAAACAGACGACCTTAGAAGGCGTCCTCTTTGATGTATCAATAAGAAGAATACCCTGTCGGGAACCCCTTTATGCCGTGTCCAAGTGCCATTGTGGATCTGATTAGCGTCGGCCCAAGAGGGATAGCGGTTAGCGGACCCCGGTAACCTGGGCGCGCTCGGCACAGATGCTCGTGATTTCTCTCCTTTCACAGGGGCGTTCTCCACTGTCCCGTGAAATCGTCTTTTGTACTTGGGGTCCGACATTCATCATCGGCTTAACAAGCTCTCAAACGGCGCTAAAGACCGGGCGTTTGGCATCGACGTCGGTTTCATATCTCTGATGATTTTATTTTGTCAAATACAGGTGCGCTTTTTCTCCTCGTTAATAAGGATGACTGTCACTCTGTTGTTGACTGTACTATGCAACAATTAAATATCCACTTTAATTGTATTATTATTGTATCCAATATAAGTTTCCCAGTCTTCGACATTGAGATAGAACAGAAATATTCGTATTCTTCGTGGAACTACACAAACACTTCATTATAAGCTCCACGTGCCCATACATCTACAATCTACAAAGCTAGAAGAAGTTGAACCTGTACATAGTACTTGTAACACTTGTAATTCACATTAGTCTATAGTTAGTTGCATATAGTAGATATCACTGTAATTCTACTTCCATGACCATGTTTTCTACTTCATAGTTTTATCCCCATGATCTGTACAAAGTCTATCATTCATTCATCAAAACTATGCACATTGTACATGAAAAAACAACAACAAAAAGACCGCTAAAGGAGACAGAAGTTTATCCCTTTCGTATGAGGCCTTCGGGCGAAAAGTCTAACGATTCCAACTATTTACCCTACATTGTGATAACAGATGGGAAGGCCAATTCATGACGCAAAACATTCCATGGTGCACATATCTAGGACAGAGAACCCCGCGAAAGGGCAACGTGGGAAATGTCGGATAATTCGGAACTCGGTAGCAAGAGTCATTACATATTAGCATGCTGGCCTGAGCAAAACGTCTGAAAGGCTTAGAAAAACGAAAATAGGCCTAACCTCTGCTCAGAGATTTCAGTCATGAAAGTGACTCTGCGAATGCATGACAGTCGGTTAAATATCCCCTGTCTCCTGCCCTTGCCTTGTGACCTCTGCTCCAGGGTCGTCACGGATTGTGATCAAACCTCAGCGGGCATAAACGGACCAAGTGTAGAGCTGTCAACGCCCGCTGGCTCCCCCAAATATTTGTAATATGACTTCTTACCTTTCTATTTACGACAAAAAGCCGCATTGTGTGTTTGAACTTCCTGAAATGGTTTCAAGGCCTCACGAATAGAGGACGCAATATGTGACGACCAAAACGCAAGGAAATTATGCTATACTTGGTTTGAAACGTTGTAATGATTAAGACGCCAGTCTGTGAAGCATTAAGTTCATGCTGTTTGTGATGTTGTGATACGTCAGTGCCTCATGCGGGTACCGAGAGGAAGTATCTTTCCGTCATACCGCCAGATAATGCTCGGGGGTATATTGTCCTATACTTCTGTTGTGATTACGTCCAGCTGGGTTCGTCTAACTTCAGTTTGTCATCATCCACACTCAACACGGAATAATGAACAAGTTTGTGAGACTGCGCGACGACCGAAGGCAGAACCAGAGCACATGTACAGGAAACCAGGAAGTGTAAGCTTTATAGCCTCTACCAGAGGCGACTGGAAAGAGTAGATATTGGCCCAGTAGACAGATGACATGCCATGGGAGTTGATCCGCTAAAGGAGCACAGTTCGCCGCTGCTCTGTCATGTTATCTGTTTATTTGGCCTATTTCCAGACACCTCTGAAGCCTGATAGAGACTATACATTGTATATTTCCAGCAACGGAGTCTGGTAGAGACTAAAAGACCACCGCGCAGTTCTCAAAGACTCCCTAGTAGTAATAATTTGGAGGTCAATCGAAGACGACAGGTGCAGTTTTAGACTGATTAGTCTCCACGGGTTTACCCCTGACTGTGTCTAATTAGTCATGACCGTTGTTATTCTATGTAATCCCCCAAAACAACACTTGGCCATTATAATAATGCATGTCGAACTTCACAGATGGGTGTATTGAAGACAGGGCACACTTGGGGACATCGGACGGGACATCTGCTTGTCCTGTAAGGATACATGGATAATTGCTATGTTATGTTGTTATACAGTGCACCGCATTACTTCTGTTGTTTTCTGAGTGCATCAATAACCATAACTGAAAAGATTCCTTCTATAGTTATCGGACGAATATGTCATCCTAACGACCGTACGTAAAGCAGTCCTAGTAGTACTAGTAATAGTTAACATAATCGCATTGCGTTGTATATGATTGTGTGATTGTACTCAGTCTGTATAGCTGTGTGATAGCGCGTTTCGCTTGGCGAGCGCCAAAGGAAGTTTGTGCTCTCCGGGCCTCACTTAGATGGAGGGATGGGACAGTAGTTCTGTAAAGGCTCCGTTTGTAGTGAAAACTCCGCGCGAAGTACAAACGGATGGCGGGTTGCTGACGCGTGACAGACGCGGATGTGTCAGGATTGATTGAGGTCTGCGCTACGACGACGACTGTTGGGAGTTAGAAAAACATCATGAGTTCAAGTTTAAGCTAGCTACGTACATGTATGGTGTAGCCACATGAAGAAAGCGAAGTTTCAAGATTAACGACATGAATCTGAGGGCTCTGACAAGCATCACACTGTACATACATGTCAACATGTAAATGACTTTCCCCACCCCCATTCCACCCACCCACCAGATTGCATATTCGGGGATATTGGTAGTAATTACATCTAATTGTAGGAATAAATGGGAGCCCCGATAGGTCGAAGTCTGAAGTCTCAAACAAAACAATTCTGTCAGTTATTTTGTCATTCATTTGGAGGAGTGATCTATGGTCGACTAGCGTTCTGCCTAGGACTAAGGAAGTTCTCCGCTGGCTAGATGCTACAGACATTGAGGAGAACATCCTGAAACTGGGCCACAGAAAGTTATGGCTTGGGTCTCGGAATTTTCCTTTCAAGGCTTTATAAACAATCCTTGGTACCACAAGTCACACGGACTCTTTGCATGCCGACAACGCACGGTCGGAATGTGTCTTTTTGTCCCTCCTCTTAAAACTCGAGTGGTCGGCAGAAATGTCGGAAATTTCTTTCGCTTCAGAAATGAAAAACAACCGCCTCGCTGTAAACCAGTCCCGGATTGACGCCAACCAGAGGCACTTGAAGTATTTTTGGCGTTTTTTTCGTCCTTCGTTCGTTCCGCTTCAAAATGCGGCATCGCTTTCATGACGGAATCATATTAAAGTTTTCTTTGATACCAAGAAATAGGAGCACGACCACTGGTTTCCCCACCATCATATCATGATATCTATATAGAAAATAAGCCGGAAATGTTGTCCTCAGCGTTCTATTGAAGCGCTATTTCTGGAATTTCCACCGCTACACGATCTACTTCATTTTCCGTTATTGATAGCATAGGTCTGACAAAAAGATCTAAATCGGCAAGCTGGTCGACGTAAAGGCATGACACAGAGTTGACAAACGGAACTCGACATACATGCACACTAGATTTCAAAACCTACAACCACTACACCATTGATCTGGGGTCCTCGAGTCTTCGATAAAGTTGAAGTTGTATTGGGAATTTGAAGGCTGGCGGGACATATAAGTAGCTAAAGTTAAGAGTCGGACGAACTTTGAACAGACAGGTCGCTTGGGCACTGTCACGTCGTAGTCCCAGACTTTCTATGGCTCAACAAAATGGTAGAAAATTGAGCAAAAAAGGGAATGCCTTTCCAAAAGAGTTAGAATGCTATAGGAATGTACTGTGTGGGCACTGCCGTGTCGTGCTATGCCAGTCTACAATGTGCACTTGGGACTGCGTGACAAACATGTCGTCTTAAACCGGGGCTTTACAGAGTGTTATAAAGTATAAATGGTGCGTTAAGTTTACGTACATGTACAGTCATTACCGCTAGAGACGTCGATTCCTTTATGACTCAGCTCATCACAAGACGATACTGAAGCAGAGGCCGACGACACTTCTCTTTTCATGGTAAGTCTGTGACCTACGCAGCAAATTTTTCTCCCTTTGTCCTATGCAGTCATTTCTTTTGGCAATGATAGTGACTCACACTTTCCACTCCGACCACCCTTTGGGAAATGGGGACTGAATGGAGAGTGTGTCCTGAGTATTTAAAACTTGAAGAAACCTCTAGATGCTTGACAACTCTCAACACTAAAGTTGATATAGATCAGTCCTACTCAAAACCAGGACACAAGCAGTGGTTAAGGATTCAACTTGTTTTTAATTTCACTGTTACTCGTATAGGCCTTTTTATATAGGGTTTTATTTTCTTTTTTACGCCAACTACCCTGCCAATGTGATACTGTCTGCCCTGAGATTACACATCAACCTTTTCTGTCACATCCACGGCTGTCCAAAGATGTGCACTCTTATCTGGTTGCAGTCTTGAAGCTATCGACGGATGTAATAGGGCCTTTGCGGAGCAAGCCATGTAGATATGCCGTTATCTGTGGCCACTGACGAACGCCACCGTACAATCGCCCGCCGGTAAAGCGGCATCATCACACGGGGAAGGTAAATATGCACCGTTACAGTTGCAACTCGCCTGTGTTTCCGTTTGGGCCACCTTATCGGCAAACAAAGGCTATCCAACCCACCGTGATCTCATACCAGAAATACGTTAATACGATCAGCCGAGCACAAAGGATGGCAAGGCGTGAGCTTCGAGAGGCAGCGCCGGAAGCTTAAGATAATTTGCGGTATATCTGGAATGAATGAGGCGGTAATGACGTTAAGTGGGGTAAAATAGCTGACCGCGTTTTTGGTCGCTTATTCCTTTCGCTGCTTATTTCATAACACGACCGAGAATAGCCGCAGAAATTGGTCTACTTATGCTCGCTATTCCGTTGCAATTGTGTTGTGGAGCAACGGTTTTCATAGGCGGTTATGAGAGCTTAACGACAATATGAGAATAAAGAAGTAGTTATTCATTACTGAGCTTGACTATTTCCACATTGTGGTTACTACATGTTTGTGAGATCACTAGAATTCTCTACGCTGTCGGTCAGACACTACAGCAGTACAGGGAATGCATACCTTTACTTTTGATGGGATCGTATTCTTATTTTCTCGGTTTGTGGACAAGAGTCAAAATGCCAAACCAACACGAAACCAACGCTGTCTGCCAAGGAGTAGTACGTGCGGTAACAAAACAAAATTCAAATTGTGGGACGACAGACCTTCAGAAAGACGTGCCTCAATCAAGACTACTTGAACTGAAACGAATGCACATGTCGGAGTGTGTGGCAAGTTTAGGATCCAAAGAGAAGCAAGGCCATCAAATTGAGTCGTCATTTTCCATGCGCTCTATAAGATTTGTCCTTGCTGTTTAATCGCTGGGGGCACATTCTGGCAAAAGCTAACTTATATTAACACACTGAGGTAGCCGTTTAGCTACCAATTCTCTATTGCTTACGGTGTGAGGCGGCAGGGAAAAGGTTCAACAGAAGTGGGTGCACAAGATGTGGCGACCACCAAGCTAGATGAGATTGGAGAAGGAATTCTTATCCAATTAATTAACGTGTAATGATGTCGATGATGGCTCTAGGCGGGAAACATGACTTGACAAAAGGATCTAGTATCATTTACCCACACCCTAATCCCTCCTCCCCTCCCATAACGGATAATTCTAGCGGACCAAGACGTCGGCAGCAACAATCCGCCGGTGTTACGTGTTTGCTGTCTGCTGTACCGTTACTAGAACAACTCTATCGGTAACTTGTGCCAAATTAGCTCCGCGCCACGCCTCGGACCCGTCAGCTGATCAAAGGCTCTGTGCTGGAGGCCGTTTTTACGCTGCACTTGTGAGTATTTGGCGTGAGACAGCGTGAGAGAAGTCGGCACGCAAACGCACGTCAACCTTAGAAGAAAGAATGTCACCGCAGAACAAGCACTGAAGGGCTAAGTCCTGGTACCGGACAGGGTGGGGTTCATATAAGGCGTCCCGGACGGTCCATATTTTCCTAACAGTACTACCGAGTAGCCTGGATCCCAGACTGTTACCTACATGTAGGACCACTATACAGGCTAACTCCCCAGCTCCAAGGAAATTTTACCACAAACACCCCAGAGGAGCTGGCCTATTTACTTGCACTGAGAACAGAACAGTCTGGCATCCAGGCTAGATGGGAAGGTACAGCCTCTACCAGGCTTCAGAAGCGGCTGGAAGAGCTTCTGTCTATTTGGCCAATTTCTTCTCTTTCCAGTCGCTTCTGAAGCCTGGTAGAGGCTAGGGAAGCAGGACACAATTGCTGGAAAATGTTTTTGAGACTTTCACAAAACACTTGACAATGGACGTAAGGTTCACGGTGACAAACCCCATTCCTCCAGTTGTGATGACGCTGAGAGTGAAGTTTGGCTTCTTTCACAAATGAGAACATGTGGGAATCGTACCCTCGACCTTTGGCACGCACGCCGAGATAAGTGGGTAAACGTAACTCCGGCGGTTTTAGTCCGCGTGGTGCTGTCGCTGGGCGTGCATGCACGTAGTTTTGACAAGTCCAACACAAAACGAGAACACGCTAACATGACCTCGGTCTCACCTAGGATGTTTGGCATTGACCTCTACAGGAAAGGTCATTGATGTTTGACCAGGACGTATGATGACCGCTGGGAGGACGGACACTTGGGACTACCGCCATTTCCCTTGCAAATCATGTCCCGGTCATCGTCCATCATTTTGACTTCGAAAAAATAAACTCCCGCTGCGGAATTGATTCCTACAAGATCGCAGTGATCAAGAACATGCAAAGAGCTCGGTGGCAGTGAGTTTAGAAAAGTGGAATGACCACTATTACTGGCGCTAGCCTAATGCCTCTTTGAAACGCGGTTTAAAAATAGAACACGCCTTGAGCCGCGTGACCCAGAAGCTTGAAGCCTTCACCCCCCACCCCTCCTAGGCTAATATTTTTGCGCCAGCGTCGTGAGTTTACTCAAGGGTGTAAACAAACCGTTTGAAGCTATTACAGATGTTTGTCGATCGCTAAACTTATTAACCGCAGAGCGATGACATCATCTGGAAACTTTTCCCACGTTGTGATTGGTCGCCGGAAGGATTGCCCCGCCGCGGCTCCGCGCTGATTGGTCGCCCGCCGGCCGGAGCGCGGTGATTGGCCCCCGGGGCGCCCGTTCTTCTGAATGACCGAGGTTGTAAGCGCGCTTTTCTGTCAGTGAGGTCTGAGATTGAGTACGCCTTCCACGCGCCGTAAGCACTCCGGGTTTGTCTCTTCTCTCTCTTCAACGCTGCCTGTCCGAGTCCACGGAATCGCGTGTCACAGTGCCACAACTGGAGCGCTGTCTTCTCGGATTTTTTCCTTCCATCCTTTAGAACAGTTAGTTATCCCATTAGACTGTACGGAATGAAGTCGACCAGCTTGCTAGCCGCGGCGTTCTCGGCGTTTCTGTGCCTGGCCGGCTGCGTGCAGGGCCAGGACTGGTCGCTGGACAAGTACCCGCTGCAGTGCCCGCCGTGCGAGCGGATCCACTGCAGTCCGAGAAAGGCCAGCAAGCTGAAGTGCAAGGGAGGCACGACGCTCGGGATCTGTAACTGCTGCTCGGTGTGCGCCAAGGTAGAGGGAGAGAAGTGCGGGGGGAAGTGGGATTACCTGGGGAAGTGTGATGCCGGGCTGACCTGCGAGAGGGAGCCCGATAGCAGAGGGATGCTCAGCCGCCCGGACAGTAAGGGCATCTGCAGGAGAAGTGAGTTAACGTTCCTTCGGTCTTTCTTTTATTTCACCCTGGCCTGCTGTAAAACGTTAACGGTTATGTGTTTTTATTGCTCCCATTGCATACTGTACACAGTCCCTTCAAACAAACTTTAAGAGATCAGTTTTTTCCAACCGAAAAGGTGTTACTCAACTAACTACCCACTCAAGACGATGTCGCGATAAAGATACGACCTCCAAAGATGTGTCTTATGTAGAGTAGCACACGGATACTCTGTATTTATGGCTGGGTAAACTTGGTGGTGCTGTTTCTACGAAAAGCCCTTTTGTGCATTTTGTCAGTCCAGTCTTTTCAACATAAATTTTAGTATGCTTCCGTCGTGTTGGTCGGTACATGGAGCTAACGCGTTACGACTGTTGACTCAACGTCAAAACAAGGAGGTTTAAATGAGATTGGTCAAACAGGGTACTTCACTGTCGGTCTCGGCGTTTTTCTCTTGACCTTGATCTTTGGGTAGACTTTGGGTCTTCTGTGTTACAGGATAAGGAAATGCGACAGTTACTAGTATAGTGTCGCCGTATCTTGCACGATGACCAGACCTCCGTGATTTGTGAGTGAGCTACTCAAAAGACGTTTTCCTGTAGTCAGACAAGAACAACTGGAACAACCCGCCGGCCTGTGCAGTCCCCAGCCTTGCATGACCGGATAAACATTTACCAATGCGATATCAAGGAGGCTATCAATAGCATCAGTAGGCACCGCGTTTGTACCGAGGGCGAGCCGCACGCGTCGCCGTGTTGATTTATTATTTCCTACACATTTTACTTGTTTTGCCGCCGAGAGGGAAGGGTTGGATAACTCCGCGTTGCTTGGTTATTGGGTCCGCTCACATTCGGTCGTACGATCGATCGTGAACGGAGGGCATTCTGGGATGGTCGTGCATGCGTCGTACAAAATTCAGTTACAGTATTTTGCTATCATTTGTCAGTGGTTGGTTCTTTCATATCAGCCTGCTTGAAAATTCTACAACATCAAAATCGTACAACGGCACAAGGGGCGACGAATGTGACCGGGTTGTTATCCAGGACTAGGACTAGTATCTAGGACGGGTGGAATGTTGACCGGTAGACTCAGGAAAAGTTGTTGAAAGGAGGTCGGAGTACGCGGAGAGACGAAATTATCGCCCTCTAATAATGTTTGTCCTAATCTGTTTCTAATTAATCGCTGATGGGTGTCATCCGGCGCGGAAATTCCACGATTTGTCACATTTGGGTCCCGTCGTCTCTCGCCAGGCTTTTCTACGTATACAACCTTTGAGATTAAAAAAAAATTAGATGGCCTCCATGGGAGCACAATTGTCCATCTAGCAACTTTGCCAATTTTTATCAGATTTCGGCTATTATTCGACCCCTAAAAGGAGCGTGGTGGAGACGAGAATTATGCCTAGGTTTCAACCACCGCCCGGCCGACCAAACGCCCCGCGACCCCTTCGTCATTTATCAACAGAGATTACCCGGTTATCTGCCTGCCGAATTCTTACATTGGCTTACTGAAGTGGATGATGGACTACACGGATAACAGTTTAATCCCTACGCAGATGTATGTATGGCTTCGGTCTGATTTGGTACGTCCCTTTCTCCGTCTTTCCAAATTATTGCAAGGTTTTTGTCTGGACGCCGAGGTCTCTTAGCCTGGGTACCACCCCACCGCTGACTATCCCTTTTCGGTATCTACAGAGCTTGGTAACCAGGCTAGGACACCCGACGCCCGGAAAAAACTTGCCATATTTTGGAAAGACGGGGAAGGGAAACCGGAGACCTGCTAGTGATGTTTTTGTCGACAGTTTTTACATGACAGTTCTAATATATATACATATAGGTGTTATTGCTAACTTCACACTTCGCACGTCCGGAGAATAAATGAGAACCAGTCGATCTGGGCGACAGACGCAGCCTGTCAGTGGCGGGACGCGCCGGCTTTTCAACGCTGCCGAAAATGATGCTCGCCTCGGGACCTCTTGCTCATCAGCGGGCCGTTATCGCTCGCCCCATCGCCGATAGCGACGTTTCCCTCCACACGAGGTGCTGGCGCGCAGACGTTGCCAATTTTCAGTAACCGCGGGAGAAAAAACAGCGCCGACTGACCCCGACAAAGGCCACGCCACCGGCGTCTACTCATGATCACCTTTCGTTAGTGTTCCCTTCCTAATTGGCATGGTTGTTAGGAAAATTCTAACACCCAGTTTTCAATCGTGTAATCCAATTGTAAACCCGGGCCTATCGCCTTCACATACAGCCACATTCCTGAACAAATCGCCTGGGAGCTCTCGGAACGCGACTTTGTGGCTTTAGTAAGCTTATGAGTGTTTGTAGTTGAAATCTAAAAGAAATAAACAAAGACGTCTGCTAGTATTAGATGACTTAACTGAGCTTGGCCTGTACCTCTCGTGGGTTCCCTAACAACTTTGTCACTTAAGGCTTGTTCCGTTGCCTCTACCAGCTTCAGAAGCGACTGGAAATGGTAGAAATTGGCCAAATAGGCAGATACCATGCCAGGGAGTTGGTCCGCAAAAGAAGTGCAGTTTGCCTCTCCTGAAGGCTTCCGAAGACTGGTAGAGTGCTAATGTTCCGCACATGAGAAAGATCGACTTTCCTCCGACCTTTTTGTAGAGTCGAAGACTATAATCTTTCGGCCACACGCCAAGGTGGTTGGTTTACTAGTATATTGTATCACCCCCCTCTAATCCCCGGCATAAAAGAAATTACGCCTCACAGTCCACGGTCTCCAGAAAAACGGTTCTGCTTGACATTTACAAGCTCTTCCTCTCAACGGCCTTGCCATGTTCTTTGCAAGGTCAGGCAGGCATAGCGCGGATCTTGGCATAAGCACAACAGCGATCATATTTTATGGGCGTCCGTTGTTGGTTAGCTGTGGTTCGCCTGGATGGCAGAATGTTTCCAGGGCCTACACAGGGTTGTTGCTGTGCTATGAAATTTCCTTGGGTGCATTTTGGCCCCAGATCCGAGGACCTAGCCTGTATGGGCCCTGGAAACAGTCTAGCTAGTGGGAGTAAAAAGTCTCAGCCGATACGGAGAGAAAACAGAGAAAGATCGTCCTTCCCTGGTCGGCAGGGGGCCGACAGTTCTGAGCGCCTTGAGGCGGCATCGCTCGCCCACGACTCCCTGCCACTGACCCTTCAGGGAAGAATGACAAGAATGCTAAAGGACAAGTTTATTCAACGATCGTAAACTTCGTCTGCCAATTACCTACCCAAGTACTTGCCTTAAAATAGCTGTTTGGGAGGGGTACTATACACCATTTATTCGTCTTTCTGGCCTTTTCTTGTAGGACAAAATATATATCATTAATTTTGACAAGGCCTCGGTGCCCCTTCCCCACTACAACATATCATACGCTTGAAACCTGACTCACTTCACACCATGGTAACAATAACCTGTCCTGTAGTGAGTGGGCGATTCTCAAAAACTGATAACTGCCAGTTGGAGGTTCTTGGAACGCAGGCCGTCGGTGGAAGAAGACCCGAGCGAACTTTACCGAACAATTTTGTTCTTCACATCCGGTTTCTTTTCGCAATTTAAGGGCAGTAAAGGATTTTCAAAGTCAACTTTTCTGTTCATTTTTCTAATAATTTAATGTACTGAGTTGACTCAAGGATTTTACGCTCCTTTATATATAGGGGTTGGATCATGCCACTCTATCTCATAGCATGCTCATATCTGTGGGGCAGAAACGCGATGTCGCTGACGGATAATGGTTGCTTGACGTCGTTCGTACACAGTGTGATTTACGGGAGATGTTTGAGATGCCCGAGTCGTTATTGAACGGTGTGGTGATATACAAGCTGGGAACGAGTCGCGGTCAGGACTCGTTATCGACAACTCAGCAGGACCGCCTGGGCATGGACGCTGAGTTCCGATATGGGGGAGAACGGAGCCCGTTAGCCTCTACCGGCTTCGGAAGTGGCTGGAAAGAGTGGAAGCAATAAATTCAGAAGAAGTCAGACACTCCCGTCTCGTGACTCGTTCACATGACGTTTAACAAACAGGAAATGGGGCATCTGATGGTTCTAAACGCTCCGCTGTGACTCGATCACTCAATCAAATGTTTGAAATAATCGGAAACAGTAAACCCAACAAACCTAAATAGCAACGGCCGCAGCGTATTTCTCTTTGTAGTTTACGTGGCATGTCTGGAGCCGCCGCCCTGTGTTGTTGCCCTCCGACGTTCTCGACATGACAGCTAAAGTGGCGATGTCAGGTTATTTGGACGACAAGGATTCCGCGCGATCCAACATGACGTCGCCCTTGTAGGAGAATGTCTTATGTGTTTTATGGCCATGAAATAATCCAGAAACCCTCATCACTATTTCTCAAGGACTTGAAGTACAGAATCCCGAGGAAAACAAGAAACCCAAGATTCCAAACCTCCGGGAAGTATGTAATGCATCATGTATGCAGGTAACACAACAACAACAACAATATTACCAGTAACGCTACATAAACTAATCATATACCGAAAATCAAAGAAACCGACATTGATTTATCTGCGAACACATAAACACGACCGAAAACAGTACCTTCCCGATATTGATTGAGGATATCTCCTTCCCCGGAGGTAACAAGACGGCAACAAGACTATCATACTTTATGCTTCGGCTTTTTTGGCGTTAATATTGGTCTTTCATTTTACTGGTATTTGGGTGACAAAATGTAACTGTGTGGCATACTCTCTGGCCAATTTGATACTTTGCAGCCACCAAGGACGATATAACCTCCTTGCAGCACCACCCAAGCAGCTACCAAAAGATCTGCTTGGAGATATACAAGATCATACAACAAGACGTGAAGAGAGAATGACTCCCCATCAGGGTCCAGGTGTGAAAATCGTCAGGCTAAACTGTTCACAAAAGGTTGTTTGGTGCGTGTAGTAAACTTTTTTGAAAGCGGTGAGGAGTTATTGACCTCATCTTTTTCGGATTAACGCGCGAAATCTTGAAACGACAAGTACGTGTTAATTGATAGCAAATATACTACATAAACTCGCACACGGAAGGGCCTCCCGTCGGAAACATGAGAGGATATTGTGTTCCTGTTATAACAGTGGTTTACTGCCCTGTGTTTACATAGCCTCCACAGAAGGCTTTCGGTGCCTCCACAGAAGGCTTTCGGTGCCGTTTTGGAGTCATCGTTTCTTGCTGATTACGCACCGAAAAAGACGGCAGGTTTAGTCGGTAAAGCTCCTGTCGATATATGTCATTACGACAGGCTTATTACAACAGCAAAAGGAAACATTCTCTAATAGGAGTCTTGTATGTCTTGTAACGGGAAAGATTGCCACAAACTGCCAAAGCCGTGTCGGCGGACGTTTTTGTCATAGTCTCACCCAAAATCACACGAGTAATCGTAGTACTAGTACAGCCTCTACCGGGCTCCAGAAGCTATTTCCAGCCGCTTCCTAAGCCTGGTGGAGGCTACAATGTATGTGACTACGACTGTATCACTATCAGCGAAACGATAGTTATGTAGAATATATAAAGGTCTTCATCCATTCAGTCGATCATTACTGAAACGCCACCCGGGGCATGCTATGGACGCCCGTGGTGTATGCGTGCTAATGAAGAACATTTCGGACGCGGTTCTTAACACAGTTTTGTACAAGACCTAGACCTTGCACTTGACCGTGAAGACGCCGGCCGGTGCCTTGACTCCGTGTAAACGCTGGGCTGTTGGAGGGATGTTGTGGTGAGCACGGGGATGATATTGGCAGTGGGGTGTGACCAAACACGTCCGTCGCCCTGCCGCGAATCTGGTTCCTCTTAGCGGCCAGCTGGGAGCGTCGAACGTCGGCGTACTTCCGTCTGTGCGTCGCAGACTGCCGACAGCGGGATGCGAGAAAAACATCCCCGCCCGAAACTGCCGGTACGTCCGTGACCCTGCCAACGCCGCCGGCACGATTGACAGATTCGTTACCGTAAAACATGACGGTTGTTTCCCAAGTCGTTGGCATAAATTTGGCACAAGATTCAACAGTCTTCTTAGAAAGCAGCCTCGTGTGTGTTGTGATTCAGAAACACTAACGGCACAATCTCGCAGACGATTGACACTTACACAAAACGTAAGACCAAGGACTGTGTATAATGTCCTTGGTAAGACAAAAATCTTTCGCGTCTTTCTTGAAGCGGTGTCTTGTTTGAAGCATCCAGTAAAAATAAAAAGTCATTATAAGAAACACAAGACGTCAAAACAAGTCGGAAAAGTATCGAAACCAAACATCTGCTTAGAGATCGTGTGGGACTATGAACGACGGGTCCCTTCAAACAGGCCGAAAAGCGCTGGTCACGGTATGTTGTTCTGGCGATGAAAGGTCCCGAGAGATGGATATTTATATATGGCCGGGTGATTATGACGGATTTGTAGGGGAGGTTCTTTTTTTGAGTGGCCCGAAAAAGCCTGCTTTTGGCGCGAGCTTTCATGAGGACCGGAGTGTTTGCACAGGCGGCGGGCTGTCACAGTTGCTAATATGCACAGCACGAGGGGGGACGGAAACCTACATGTGACCCATTATTATTCCTCTTGAAAATAAGACGTTGCCATTCTTCTACACCGTACTAGACTCTAATATGCAGTGATTGTTTTACATTTACTCTTTTCTTAACAAAAACAATTATATTGGCATTCCCGACTTTTCTCTCAGTAAGTTAATTTTGAATGCTTACAATAGAAAATGATCAACATCTTTTGTGCTTGTTATTTTCATTAACTATTTGATGAGAATTCTAATCTTACAGCCGCACCAATCGTTCCAGGAAAATAATTAAGAATCTGAATGTAATCTAGCTGTAATATTAATACCTGAACACAAAAGTAACACAATACTGGTTCAAACACTTGTTGTGACTACGGAGAACGGGAGTCCGTGGTTCTCACGACCCCAGGAGGCCAAACCCGAATTTGCCAAAATTTAAACAATTACAGCTTAATTATGATAGGATAGGACCGCTTTATCCTGGAATGAATGAAGCAGATTTTACAATTAAAATTTGCATGAAATATTTTACATCTGCTCAAAGTTATGGTGCCCTGTTGGTTTCACGTGACAGAGTTGGCCTCTACGACTATCTTCTCAAGCCTCTTCAAATAAAGTGTATCTAAGCAGGGCATATTCAAAACAAAAAAGTGTACTAATGAGTATGAATTATGAAAATGTGGGACACGTCTGAATCTTTATATTATCATTTATTTTTTCAGGTAAAGAGCAACAAGAAGAGGGTCTGCCCAAATATTGCCGCCCAAAGTGCACGCCGGAGTTTTGTAAAGCCAACCCGAAGTCCATCTGTTCAGCATAGTAAGTGATTTACTGCATTGTACAACATATACATGTACATCGATAGCCTAAACTAATGTCTCACGCATCAGCACAGGCAAGACGGATAAACGAGCGTCGGCGTTGCCATACAGGTAGGTAAATGTACACATATACCGCATTACTCTTACACGTGTCACAGCCGAAAAATTATACGTGAACTTTGCTACCTCGAGGGCTGCCTTTTGATCTTATCGTACGTCAAAGCAGGCCGATTTTAAATTACACGCGGTCAAAAACCTCACGGTACGAAAACTGCGAACGTCGAATTTTACCTGCGTGAGAATCGTCCTGTTTTGACGTATGTCAAAAACATACGAACATACAAACATGACCGAAAACAGTACCTTGAATTCCCGTGGAAGACCATATCCATCTCCGGTAAAAAAAGGGTTCCAGGATTATATAATACAGATCAATCAAAACGTTGCTCTGTCGGCGTCATCAAAGAAGCTGCGTGAACGTAGCGTAGACGACACTTCATGCCAGAAGATCCAATGTCGGATTTTCCCCGGATGGAAAACAGGAATTCGTTCAAATATTTCCGGGGTGACGCGAGCAAAATATGATCCTCTTTGAAAAAAAATGTGCGGAGATTTTACGGCGGGCGACTTGCACAAACCGTGACGACTTTAGGTCGCGGGTTACCCACAAAGGTGGCGCAGGTGGCCACCGCTTCTCTCACCGACCGGTAACTGGACACAGTACGGTCAGGGGACGTGCATATATGCGTGATGCCACAAAGAAGCGTCACT